ACCATACTCCTTCATGTGATAGGATTTCAAAGAAGAAAGAAAAAGTCATGTTTTACTGTGGTCAGTTCAACCATCCCTGATACCAAAAAAGATAGAGAATTCATTGTAGCCAAACACACGTGTTGTGGTGAGACATGTAAGCACGCATGCATGCACACACACACACTCATCAACTGAAGCAAAGACCACATCCACATCAGTACTAGTACTTAACTGAATATTTAAAACAGTAATAACTTCACTGCATCTCAGATGGCATACTCAATCCAGTTCATAACAACTCAGATCAGCTTTATTTAAAAAAGGAACTTCTAAATTATCATTCGAATCAAATGTCACTGAGACAAAGAAAATTGCACGCGTTCAAGTGTTAAGAACACAAGGTCAATTTAAGACACAAAAGTGATAAGGAAAATTGTCCACAATTTAAATCATTTTGGTTTCAAGTATCAACAAGAATGCCAAAGAAATTTAGCACGTGCAATAAAATGTTTGGGATACAATGATGCAATGTCAATTTTAGAAATGACTGCCACAAAGAGAACCAAGTATGCATTAAACTAAGTAAAATGTGAGAAAACGGGGTGCCACAAACAAATCCACTCACAATAATAATAATAATAATACACTTATTGAAAGAGGTATACACTTATTGAAAGAGGTATAAACATGTAAATTAAAACTTGAATAAATAAATAAATCTAAATAAATACAAGAAAGTTGGGTCTTGTGAGAGAAAGCTCTGTGATACTGAAATGATATATTTTGCAAAAAGGAAATTTCAGAATATATACCATTATATATATCGGGGAACAATTCCCATTAACACGTCTACATTCCCAGAAATGTCTGAAAACTCTCCGGGCTATCGAACTGACATGAATTACTCACCAGCATAGTATTTTTGAGGACCATCAATTAACAGACTGGTATGATATATCTCAATAACTATAACTCTTTGGGACGTGACCTTCCATCCTTGATGACTTTATGACAGGAGAGCTTGAACTCTTCAACCTTTCCAAGACATTTTGGGACATGAACCCTCTTATTCATTTGGGGCAACAAGTGCTTCTCTTTCTCTCTCTCACACACCCGCGTTAGATATGGGTAGGAACACAACATATTACATTTTTTTACATTTAGCATTGGAGAACCTTCTACCATTTTTTTCATTTTTTCACACCTGAAAAAGCAAACAAACAAACAAACAAACATCTGAACTTTCACACCTTTAACCTCAATCAAAACCTCAAATAACACCACTCCTGCTATCAACCTCAAGCACTGTATATTTTCAAACATGTTAATTTGTATAAATTTGTTCTATAAATATAAAAAATCTACCAAATTTTTCCATTTTCTCAAATTGTTTATTGGATGGAAGCAAGTCTTATTACTCCACAGTCATAAATACATATTTAAAAAACAGAAATGTTTTGTCTTATCTGAACCAAATTATACAACATATAGGATGTGGTTCAACCACTCACAAACCCAGCAATAATAATATTTTATGTATATGACAATGTCTTTCTGCTTTACTGAATGCTATGACAAAAATAATTTTCTAAACATGCCCAATTGTTTCTTTTGACATCAGTTTAGGATAATTTTTTCAGGACTTATTCTGTGCATTTTGAAGAGAGAGAGAGAGAGAGAGAGAGAGAGAGAGAGAGAGAGAAAAACACACACACACGGTACAGCTTGTACAATTATTAGGCCCATCTTTCCCACCTTTCATTCTCATCTATCTTTCCTACCTCAACTTGACTGGTTATAAAGTTACAAGTCTCCTTTCAGTTCTCCACATCAGTATTTACATGTCCTGGGATTTGTGAGAAAAACAAAACCAACGCAAACAAGCCCTCCCTCATTGGCTGTACTTTCTGACGTCTCTAAATTAACATGTTCCCCAACACCTTCTAAATGCATGACACTGTGCCCGACTTTTATCAACCGACTCGATCAAAATTGGAGACACGTTCTCACCTGTCAGGCGAATGAATTACTGGAGATGTGTTCTCACCTGTCACGCCAAAGGCGTAAACAGCATTCTCATCTTGCTCTACAATAAATATTCTTAAATTTTAATACCTTACTTATTAGAATATTATAATTTTTCAATGTTTTGAGCAACTTTTTGTCAAGATAGTTATAATATGTCAAAATGAAATCTTTACTGTAATGGCTCATTCTGTTTGGACAAATCACAAGGATATATTCACAAAGCAATTGTTTGTAATAATGAAATGCATAAAGTATGATAAATGACAATACAAAATTTTGTAGTGCAAATCGGGTTTGGATCAGAAGGCATACATTTGTGATTAAACAGCAAAAAAAGATAAATCTTGGGCCGGGGGGGGGGGGGGGGGGGGTAAAAAAAAANGTGCACGGCGACGGCATCGGCATCGGCATCGCCATCGGCGACGGCGACGACAGACGCAGGTGATGGCAATATGTACAGACACATCTGTGTCTGTACATAAAAATGGTCTAATATATATATTAATATCATATTCATAATGCAATATGCAATATGCTGGTTATAGTTGTTGTATAAACTGATCCATTCAGCAATTGTTTATTTATTTGATTATTATTGTGATTATTTTTGAACACTGGTTCCATGAGTGGTGCTATATGGATGTCTTGGTCTACCCATAAATCAGGGCAACTCTGGCACAATTCGAACTCACTTATCTTTTTAATTTGACAAAAGTGTAGACTGAGTCTATTTATACAAATTTTAATATTGGCGTGCTTTTTTAATTTGGAAGTTAAGAGTCTAGAGAAATACTTTTCAGTTTTTCCACTAAGCTTCATTATACATTTTGAAGCATGTATACACAATGGAAGCCAATGCACGTGGACCGGTAACAGCACACAAAGCAAATTCACTTCAGCAAAATATTGATTCGGCTTGCGAATGAATAATAAATACGAAAATGCATAGCCTTCCACTTCCAGCCTTTGCACACAAAAATCTGAAAACCTGAATTGCAAGTATGCATCGCAGTGCAAGTTTATATCCCTAGCCTTAATAAAGAGACAAAACTTACCTCTCAACCTTGTGGAACCTTGCAGAAGAGAGCACCACACACTGTTGGACTTCTGTCTTTCTTGTTGCTTGCCACTATGTTTTGTTCGACAGCTGTGCTAGATGTGACGTAGTCGCGGTTTTGCTTCAGCCAATCAAAATCCTTCATTCAAATACATTTCGGTCGAAAAAAAATGCGATCACGAAATTTCTAGTGTATGCATCGATGGAAAATGAAATTGTAGCTCGTTTAAGATCCTACAAAAACAATTACTGGAACATCATTTATCACATTCCTTTATTTTAAACACAAACATACTGCTTTGTTGAAAAATAAACAAAGACTCATGACATGCATGAAATACAACAAGTGTTTTGATTGGCTCTTATTTAGGAAACTCCAAGATGGAGGTGTGAGAGGCACGTTTACCAGTTTACTGCGTTGGTTTCTCAAATTAACAACCACGTTAAGCAATTTTCACTGCTGAATTGCACCTGTTTATCTTGTAAAGCATTGGAGTAATTGAAATCGCTGGGTCGTTTCTATGCTGAAAGATCAAGATGCCTAGGCGGAGCAGAAGCCGGTCGTCATCTTCAAGGTAAAATTAACAACAGCTGCCTGAAATCGGACTGAAACTAAACAGCCGAACGCCAGTTTAGATATAATCGATAGAAAACTGGACGTTTTCAAAATTTTGCGTTCCTTTTTGGGAGAATAATTCTTTTGATTTCATAGTCTACAGTAGGAGAAAATTAAGATATTTTAAAGGGGGTGTATACTTCTAGGCTAGTACAAGGTTCCAGTAAGTTAAGCTGTCTAGGTTAGAGACTGCTGCACTTGTCTTTTGCTCACGGGCACTGGTTTGCAACTTGGTCTTGGGTCCAAAGGATGTAATAGATATAAATGCATAAATGAACAGTGATTCTTTGCCTATAAGTAACAGTAAGTTGATAAAGTGTATTAGCGTATTTTAAATGGTTTTGTGAATTACACGTTCTGGTTTTAAAGCAAATTATCTTGAAAATATGTATGTTTTTTCCGAATTTATTAGCTTAAGCATTTTACTATTAATTATATCTACATTATAAAACATTAGCCATGCCTTTCTGTTGTAATAAAACACACACAATATTTTATTTAATTTGAAAACTATTAGCAGTGATTTAACCTGGGTCAAAGTACTGAAATTGAGATTAAAGTTTACAAACAATTGGAAGGCTATTTAAAAACACATATCATGGAACATGATCCAGGTGACCTCAAATTTAAAATGCAGTATCTGCAAAATGCCCCAAAGTGCCTCATTTTTTTCCCTAAAATTCCTGTACAGCAGGAATAAGATGGCAGTGTTAACCTGAATATGTCAGTGCATGAATTCACTGCACTAATAACATTTAGACCCCATTCCCACAGATTTTAGATTGATCTATCCCCGTGGGGAGTCTCACTAGATTACTGTCAGCTTAGCCGGCTTAAATGTCTATCTACTAAAAGCTGTAAAGGGGTAATTAACTGTCGTGAACCCCCCGTGAACCCCCAGGGAGTTAGGTCGATCTGGATGGATCGATCTAAATCTCTTGGAATGCAGTCTTATTTTGTACTGAATATTTGTATTGTAATCAAACTGAAGAAAAGATCTTATTGCTTTTTGTTTTGTCGTAGGAGCCGTAGTAGATCAAGATCAAGGTCCAGATCAAGAAAAAGGTGATTTAGATGAGACAGCATCTGGTGCTGTATTAATCAGATTTTCAAAACTTACTTTTTACTGTAACCAAACCAGCATGGTCTGCTGCTCAATAAAAGACATATTTCTTTTTGTCTAGTATCACTTTATTGTCTGTCAATATATATAGTCTTATCCAGCAAAATAAGAAGCTGGTTTTGCCAAAATTGGTCTAAATTTTTGCATCAACATTTTTGTGCCTTTCTCTGAACCAGTTTAAAATAAAAATAAATAAAAATTAAATAATACTGTATCCTGGCCCATTATAACCAAAGTGTGCCTTAATGTGCCTTAGTTACATTTTCGTATTTTCAGGACACCGTCCCCTTATTACCGTAAAGATAACAGAGGCAGAAGAAGGTCGCCCCAAAAGTCGGGGTCACCTGGGAGAGGGCGGTGAGGAGCCTTATTTACACCTGGGGAAGGTTTCACAGAGGAACTGAAAACCAGAATTTGGTCTTAACTTTTAGACCAAAAGTTTAAGCCTGCTTTGACCAAATTTTTAGGAGTAAAAGTCCTCTCAATTAGTGAAATACTACACCAGGTGGCTTTGCAGACAAAAAGTTTTTATCTTGAAGCTGAATCTGAAGGTTTTTTTATGAAACAGTCCTTGTAATATGTAAACTACAGTATTAGCAGAAAGTGTTTGATATTAGAAAAAATGTACAACTCAGTCTTATATTCTCATTCCATGCTAAGGTTATGTTGATACTAAGTTGTATGTGTATATTGTGACTGTATGCAGATGATGATTATGATTATTAATATTGTTGTTGTTGTTGTTGTAGAAGAGCCTCTCCTGCAAGAAGGCCAAGGTCACGTTCAAGGTCAAGGTCCAGATCAAGAGACAGGAAGAATGTTTCAGGCAAATCATCTGAGGCTAGGAGAGGGAGGTCAAGGTAAGGTCAAAGGTCAGCCAAAAGGAAAAGGATGGTTGTGAAAGGAAAGAATTTTGTGTTGATACTGATCAAAATGACACGTAGTATGATTTAAATTTGAGTGACATCTCCACAAGTTATTTCAAAATGGAAAAGAAATTTGTTTTGTCAGTTAATTTTTGATTAAACTGATAACCTGTTTGCATTAAGGTATTATTATATTCACCAGTTCTACTATAGAATTTTGACAATTTTTCACAGGTCTCAAAATTAAGGAAAGCATCTCAGTTTCTCTGTAGTACCTGAATATTTGCTAGCTTTGCTGTCTAATTTGAAAATATCCCCTTCAGGTCTCCAAGGGAAGGTTCAGGACAGAAAAGCAAAGACAAAGGTTAGTGAATGGGGCTGAAGTGAATTTTTTTTTTTTTTTGAAAAAAATCTTTTTTTGTAACCTTTAACCTTTTTTAACCTGCTCAAACTGACTTAGTCTACAATGTTCCACTTCACTTTGAATCTTAAAGTCTGATTACCTTGAGATTGAAATGAAGCCCTTTGAAGACATTGAGATTACAGTAACCAAGTTTTTTCTCTCAGTGTTAGTAGTAGCCCATTTCAGCACATTAAATACATTTATCGGGGTTTGTTAATCTTAAAAGCTCTCAGAGCAATATCACTAAGTCTGCATTGCATAGCTGATTTTCCAAATTTATAATTTATCTGACCATTAATTTTGTTCAGAAGAATCCTAAGATAGTCCACAAAAATATATAGCAGTTATTCATCTTAAGTATTATTCTTTCCTTTCCTTTCCTTGCCCCCCCCTCCCCCAAATGATACTGTTTATGGTATTTTGAAGTATCTGTTTCCCCTTTAAAAATTTTTCTAATTATTTTTATCAGTACGTGATCGCTCACAGTCATCACCTAATCGTAATCTAAACACATCTGGGTCACTGCGCCATGGTTTACCAACACAAAGAAATAGGTCAAGGTCGCCTCCACCCAAGAGGAAGCGCACCCCTCAGCCGCGAGACAGATCACCAATTCAACGAAATATATCACCCTCACCACAAAAGAGACGACAACAGTCACCACCAGGTGGCAGGTCAAGAGAGTCACCTGATTCAAGAAGAGCTAATAGATCTGTTGAACACATTCCTGCTGAAGTTCTGCCTCGCGAACGCAGTCCATTCGCCCCTGGTGATGCCTACACAGTGCGCGCACCCAACTTTGGCAGCACAAAAACACTCTTAGATAGCCGATTTAAAGATGTCAACTCGGGCTCACGACCCTTCATCTTGATGAGAATATCACAATCGGAATCCATCGTAATGTAAGAGGAGAGTCTCCCGTGGTTGCACGCAAGCGTTATGATGTATTAAATGTTTCCATTGTGCGCAGGGCTGTAGAAGGAACTAAGCCGATTTTCGATAGAGAAGAGTTGATAGGGAAAATATCAGGAGATCTTCAAGATGACGTTGAAGAGACGCGTATTATACAAGTTTCCAAGGTGGATCGCCATGATGACTACGCAGCTAGATTGTCCAGAGCAAAACTGGAGGAAGAGCTAGATGATGTTAATTATCCAAAGAGAGATGATGAGATGGACGGAAAAAGCATGCGGGTGGCAGTTGCCACTGTCTGGGAAGACACTCAGAGGAGGAGGTAAGGGTAAAACCACAGGGCAGGGGTTCAATTAAAAAATTTTTTTTTCCCTTATCATGAGTAGATTTTTCCTTCTGATTATTTCTCTTTTGGTTAAGAGGTCAGTTTTAGAAAATGAGTGGTTAAAATATTGTGTTTATCAGTTGTGTGGAAGAAATAATTTTTTTGTGGATGAGTTTGTGTGTTAGTGATTAGTGTCCTCTTAAGTCTTTGCAAGCAAGGGGACAACACTAAAATTGGTGAACCAGAGTTTTTTTTTCTTCAAATATTAGTAGTCAAACTATCTTTCAGTTCATTTAATTTACAACCATCCTCAATCTTGAAATTTGTCAGCCTGATGAACCTGTAAGACATGTAATTAAATTATTAGTGACTTAATTGTGTATTTCAGGAGAGATAAAGGCACAGTCTTTCAGAGGGAGTTCAGAGGTTCCAAACAAGAAACAAGGATGAGGTAAGGGAGGTCTAACAGGGGTTGACAAGAAGATTTTTATCCAAGTGCTCTCCCAAACTTACTTGCCTCCCTATAATTAACTTTTTGGAAGAGGCTTTACTAAAATCCCCCACCTTCCCTAAGGTATTTGAAACCAGCGCAGGAAACCATGTCAGCAATTTTTCTGGGCAGGCATGCTTGACAATTGTAATCACTTGCGCAGGGTGTCCACACAACTTTTATAATAACCCCTTTCTTGTTAAATGATACTTTTACTGTTTTTTTGTTTTTTTTTTCAGTTGTGCTGATGCATTTTATTAATTTCATAAATAACAAGAGAGTGCATATTTCCTACAGGCTTAGTCAGCATTATTATCAAAATTATTATTTTGATATTATCTTTCTATTTGCTTGTAGTATTGTTAGTTTTTCCCCCAGTACTAAAATTTTCTCTTGATTATTTACAGGCCTGACATCAAACATGGTGATTTGAGACATAGCCTATCAAAGAGGCGCACTGGGTCGGAGAGAGAGGAGACCTCATCTGATATTAGGTGTGTCTTTATGTGTGTTTTGTTCTGAGATGAGCTTTTTCTGTGGAAAAGCCAAATTCCATTTTTTAAAATTCAGTTCTGATGGTTCCTGAGGTTCGTCAAGGTTAGGTGTTGGGTCCCATGATGAATGTTCAGAGTTTTTTTTTTTTTTTTTTTTTTAAACCTAGACTCGTGTCTGATATCCTCTGTGACGTAGTTAATGAGCAGATAAGTGTCATGCATACTGTTGATAAATGTATTTCAGACAACGTCTTGGTAGTAGAGAAGAGAAAAGACCAGGAGAGAAGGGATATCAGAGCGGTAAGGAAAAGGGTCTGATGTTTAAAGATATGTAAGAAATGAGTAAATGTCCAGTAAGGAAAATATAAAAGTTTGATATCTGTTTCTGACACAATGCAAAATCCATTCACCTTTCCACAAATGATAAGACTGGGCCTAGTTTCGTGCCTATTTCCATTGACATGCTTGCACAGTTCATTTGGCATTCAATTAAGATATTTCGTGTTCATTTCGTATTCATTTAAGTTTTCCCTGCCATTCTGCAACTTGCTTCTGATAAGGAACAAGTAAACCAAATTAAATAAATTTAAAGCTGGTTGCATTGTGTAATATCCCCCCCCCCCCAGCCAATGAATAATTACATAAACTGCCCTACATAACTTTAGATTCCTTTCTTTTGTTCTTTCCTTTTTAAAACACGTATTATTATTATTATTATTAACATATATTATTATTTCCATCATTAAATTTTTGTTTTGTTATCATTCTGACTTTTATCTTTATTATAATTATTTTATTGATTGTGTTTTAACTTATTGCAGATGTAGTTCAGAGACTACTACAGCAAGCAAACAGCTCACAAGAGCCTTTGCCAGATTTTGCACAACGTCCAGGTATAGTAAAATGCACACCCAACTGTCATTTTAGTTGATAATATATCTGGTGGATGCTGTTTAAAATTCTTTAACATTTATTTTTTATTTACTTGTTTGTTTATTGAGAAATCTCTCTCTCTCTCTCTCTCTCTTTTTTCAGTCAGTTATATTTTTTTTATTCAACTTAATAATTTCAGACAAAGGTGTGTACGAACCGTGGAAAGAAAACCCTGAGCTAATACCAAAAGGATCTTCTTACTATGAGGTCAGAGAAGCAGATGTTCATTTATTAGCAGGAAGTTTATTTAAAAGCAGGAAATGCTCATGAAGTTAAAAAAATCCAATACTTCTAGGCTTTAAAATTGTAGTTCCTCTTAGAAGTAAAAATTAGGAAATTCAGTTTAGAATTATAACATTCTTATTTTCCCAAATCCTATGTTAAACTGTAGACTTTGACATTATTATTTTAGAACCTTCAGACCTAGGTTTTGTATTCTTGTTATAACTATTTTGCTAACACCTACAACAAACAGTTTTTAAATATTTTTTTCCAGCATGACAATCGAGGGGAGTTTGACTACTGGGAAAGGCGGGGAAGAGGAAGAGGACGGGGCTTTTTCCGTGGAAGGGGTGACTATCGCGGGCGTGGTGGGTTCAGGGGACGAGGAGATAGAGGCCGTGGGCGGGGATATCACAATACTGGTTACAGAGGAGACAGGAATCAATCTAGATGGCGAGATGATGACCGGGACAGAGATCGGGATAGGGATCGGGACAGAGAGCGGGATAGGGATCGGGACAGAGACCGGGACAGAGTGGGAGGAGCAGACAGAGATAGAGGTTTGTAGTCATGTTTAGACTATATTTTTGTTCCCTTATTGTGTATTTTATATGTACAGACAGTGTTGGTCAGTGCTTTTTGATCAAAGTTCTAAGTGTAAAATTGGGAATGGATAAATGAGTTTAAAATGTAGGAGACTGAAAGTTGCTTTGGAAGATTTTTATGAAAGTCATCAATTAGTAACAGGAGGCTGTTGGCACTGTTTGATATCAAACAAGACTAAAAAACAACATGGCTTTGCTGGGATATGTGTGGGTATAGAAAGCAATAGATAATTCCCCATTATTGGTCATGATTCATTCATCTATTTATTTTTCCCTATTTTTTGTGTTTATTTCAGAATGGAAGCACGATATGTTTGAGAAGATGAAAGAGGATGAACAGAAACCATCTAGCACCACAGAAAACCCGGTGTCATCACAATCATAGGTGGCATTGATGCACATGACAAGACCAACAAACAATCTGCAGGTGTGGTCCACCACAATATTGGCTAACTTACGCTGATAACAGTCACCTCTTTCCTGAAAGCATATTTCATAGGTTTTGCTTATAATACAGCTGTAGATGGCACTATACGGCATGAGGAAATGATCACATTGTTGCATGGATATTTGGAGAGAAAAATGGAGAAAATTATTTGTGTTGTCAAGTGAATTTGTGTAAGGTATAATGAATATCAAATATAGATGGAACTGCCATGCAAGATGAGATGGACTGGTAAGTGTGTGCTCGTTCAAGATGGATAAAAGTCAGCTCTGAAAGTATGGGGAAAATGATAAAACACAATTGTATGTTGTTTGTTTGTGGCTATTTACAAACAAAACATGGCAAATAACCAAATATTTGGATATTGACAGGTGATATTTCAGCATTGTCCTGAATATTTTATTTTGGCTTCCTGTATAAAGTTGTCTGTCTTCTTGGTAAATTTTTTTATTATCTGAGTAGTGCAAAAATATTGTGCAGTTAGCCAAAATGATTTTTTTTTTCGTTTTAAAATATGAAGCATATTTGTCAGACATGTGTCCCATTTGTCGATATAATATTATGGCAAATAAAAAGAATCGAAGATCAGTTGTGTGTTTTATTTGAAGTTGAAGATGTACTTTTGTCATGGCAATTACATAATTGGAATCTGTTAAGTAGCTTTTTAAGGTTTTAATCACCTTGATGTCACTATGTCAGAAAATATGGCTCATTTTTTTTCAAGTGACTGAAATGTGACCCTGTCAAAGTTAATTTTTAATTAACAGAAGATTTATCTCAGAATCTTTTAGTCAACATTTTCCCATAAATAACACTTGTCATCTTTCAAATAAAATAATAAAATACAAACACCCACACATTTGTATTGTACAAAAATAGTTTATTATAAATATTGACATTTTTTTGTCTATCCAGTATGGTTGTACAGCTATATACAATAGTTTGTCATGTTTGAGGTATGTACAAAAGTATAGAGAGAACCTGTTACATCAACAACAATCTTTGTGGGTATTGTGTTGCAATTTGTATAAAACTTAACAATGGACGTTTGAGATTTCATACATAAATAAGCGGCTAAATATTTCAATAGAGAGGCATATATGTGGCATCACAGTTGGTAATGTGTATATATATATGTATAGATAATGGTTTAAGAACTTATTCAAAGGCCTAGATTTAAAAAAAAACTACATGCTAGAATTTATATTAAGGCGTAATAATAATTGATGTCCTATGCTCAAGCTGTAGAATCTGATCTGGCAACCATGGAAAAACACTTTTTACCATTAATATTTCCAACAAATAATGATAAATGACATAAAGTGACAAACAAAATGTTGCCTTAACAAGTATGATTTCATATAATAAAACAATTTTACTAAAAGATGAAATTGAGCCCAAAACTGACTGAACAACTGAATTTTTACATAAATCGAATGGCACAATGCACTGCTTGACAAAAATGTCTAAATGTTAAGTGGGTAATTCATACAAATGTTCACATTATTTTTAATTAGATATGTTGTAAAGGCTAAGGATGTTTTGTGATAAGATCATTCAAATTCCGACAAATCTAAAACTACTTCCTGTATGTTATATGCACTAAAAATAAGATCCTGATTTACATTAAAGATGTCTCTGCTACATAGTTGCCTAACAATGTGTGGTAAGTCAAAAACATCTTGTATGAATTAATTTCTCATGGATGGATTGTTCTGTAAGTTCAATGAAATTTATTGGATGATATTTGTCTGCTACAGGTGGTCACTGAGATATTATACTTAGTTTATCATGCTGATTTACAAGATATACTAGAATCTTGCACTGTTTACATGAAGGGTAAATCATTGTTTAGCTTTTGAAAACTGACATAGTGACCAATGTCCACAATGCTGTTTCACAAAAGCTAACAACTGAAATCTTGCACTGTTTACATTATGAAATGGCAACATGGCTAGTTTCCAAAATAATACAAAAAAAAAAAAAAAAACAAAAAAAAAAAAAAAGAAAAAAAAACTGGCAGATCGGTGGGCATTGTGTAACATATACAGGATGGAATGACAGATGTCACTTGTTCTGGAGAGTCTAATTGAAATAAATAAAACACTTAACCTCTGACCTCTTGCCCTCTGGCCTCTATTACTGTCTACCTGAGAAGTTTTAATGTCTTTTCCAATTTCAAAGAAAAGCAAGTAAGAAACTCCTGACATGGCTAGGAATGTGATTATAAATGAACAGAAGGAAAGGCATCTGTGAACAGTAAAATATGGAAAACCCACTGTGATTGGTCACATAAAGCAAGGCAATATAGTTTAGCTTGGTTTCAGATGGAAAGGCAACTCTGATTGGTCAAAGATAAAAGTGATTATGATTGGACACAGATATAACTCATTGTAATTGGTCACATAGGATAAGGCAAATTGTGACTGATCACATGCAGGTTCACTGTGACTGGTTACAGATAAGCAAACTGTGATCAGATATGGATAAAAGGCAATTGTGGTATGTCATTGATAATAAGGTACTTGTGACCAATTGTGTTCACAGATGGAAATGCAAACATGATTGGTCAAAGATGGAAGGAAAATTGTATTGAGCAACTGAAGAGAAAGGCAGTTTTGATAGGTTATAAATGAATGAATGGAAAAACAGTTTCTATTGCACCCATATCTAACCCTCCTGAATATTAACACCCTCCACCTGGACATCAAGGTGTTGTGACTTACCTTGTTGTCCAGAAAACACTACAACAGAAGGTGCCATGAGTGCTCACCAATTCCTATTGGACCCATCCCAATCCCCATCATTGGACCCATCCCAATCCCCATCTGGTTGTTTGACACCCTCCACCTGGACATCAAGGTGTTCTGACCTACCTTATTGTCCAGAAAACACTACAATGAGAGGTGTCATGAGTGCTCACCAGTTTTTATTGTTCCCATCCCAATCCCCATCTGGTTGTTTGACACCCTCCATCTGGACATCAAGGTGTTCTGACCTACCTTGTTGTCCAGAAAACACTAAAATGTAAGGTGCCATGAGTGCTCACCAGTTTGTATTGAACCCATCCCAATCCCCATCTGGTTGTTTGACACCCTCTACCTGGACATCAAGGTATTCTGACCTACCTTATTGTCCAGAAAACACTACAATGTAAGGTGCCATGAGTGCTCACCAGTTTGTATTGAACCCATCCCAATCCCCATCTGGTTGTTTGACACCCTCCACCTGGACATCAAGATGTTCTGACCTACCTTGTTGTCCAGAAAACACTACAACAGGAGGTGCCCTGAGTGCTCACCAGTTTCTATTAGATCCATCCCAATCCCCATCTGGTTGTTTGACACCCTCCACCTGGACATCAAGGTGTTCTGACCTACCTTGTTGTCCAGAAAACACTACAATGAGAGGTGTCATGAGTGCTCACCAGTTTCTATTGGACCAATCCCAATCCCCATCTGGTTGTTTGACACCCTACACCTGGAAAACAAGGTGTACTGAACTACCTTGCAGACCAGAAAACACTACAATGTGAGGTGTCATGAGTGCTCACCAGTTTCTATTGCTCCCATCCCAATCCCCATCTGGTTGTTTGACACCCTCCACCTGGACATCAAGGTGTTCTGACCTACCTTGTTGTCCAGAAAACACTACAATGTAAGGTGCCATGAGTGCTCACCAGTTTCTATTGGACCCATCCCAATCCCCATCTGGTTGTTTGACACCCTCCACCTGGACATCAAGGTGTTCTGACCTACCTTGTTGTCCAGAAAACACTACAATGTAAGGTGCCATGAGTGCTCACCAGTTTCTATTGGACCCATCCCAATCCCCATCTGGTTGTTTGACACCCTCCACCTGGACATCAAGGTGTTCTGACCTACCTTGTTGTCCAGAAAACACTACAACAGAAGGTGCCATGAGCGCTCACCAGTTTCTATTGAACCCATCCCAATCCCCATCTGGTTGTTTGACACCCTCCATCTGGACATCAAGGTGTTCAGACCTACCTTGGTGTCCAGAAAACACTACAACAGGAGGTGCCATGAGTGCTCACCAGTTTGTATTAGATCCATCCCAATCCCCATCTGGTTGTTTGACACCCTCCACCTGGACATCAAGGTGTTCTGACCTACCTTGTTGACCAAAAAACTACAACAGAAGGTGCCATGAGTGCTTACCAGTATCTATTAGATCCATCCCAATCCCCATCTTGTTGTTTGACACCCTCCACCTGGACATCAAGGTGTTCTGACCTACCTTGTTGTCCAGAAAACACTACAATGTAAGGTGTCATGAGTGCTCACCAGTATCTATTGAACACAATCCAATCCCCATCTGGTTGTTTGACACCCTCCACCTGGAAATCAAGGTGTTCTGACCTACCTTGTTGTCCAGAAAACACTATAACAGGAGGTGCCATGAGTGCTCACCAGTTTCTATTGGACCCATTCCAATTCCCATCTGGTTGTTTGACACCCTCCACCTAAACATCAAGCTTATTTGACCTAATTTATTGTCCAGAAAACTATAACAGGAGGCCATGAGTGCTCACCAGTGTCTATTGGACGTATCCCAATCCCCATCTGGTTGTTTGACAGCCTCCACCTGGACATCAAGGTGTTCTCACCTACCTTATTGTCCAGAAAACACTACAATGAGAGGTGCCATGAGTGCCCACCAGCTTGAATTGGAGTCATTTCAGTCCACCCTGTTGGCCATAAAAATACCACAATGAGAGAATATGTTCTACAAGTTCTCTCCAGTGTCTATTAAATAAAACCAATCCCAATCCCCACCTGGTTACTTTTGCCAGCCTCCACCTGGATATTTATCTCACAGCCAAACTGGGTTCTAGTTATGAATATAAAAGACATATTATTTTTACAAATGTGCAAAATTGTAGACAGTAAATGACCATGAGCAGGACAAGAGAAGGCTGAAGGTTCTAATATTTCCATCCCCTCAATATATTTTACCAATTTTTGGTATATTTCATAACCAATTGCCATTCCATTATACCTGCCATTACAGACATTTTTATAAATTGTCGTAATAAAATAATTATTTTATCCAGATATGCACCCTACCCTCACTGCCATGAAATAAAGTTTTATAATTAAAACTGACCAGTTGAATACTGTAGGAAAACTAACCATGTACCAGATTCTGATCTAATATTTTGCCACCACGCATGATATATGAAAGTATATATCTCAAAAAGTGTAACATACAAACAAACTACCACTATCCACTTGATGATGTCTCTCGCCTTGAACCAACATATCAAAAAATTTTGTTTGTATATATATAAATCTATCCACATTTCAAGGACAATTCATTACAGCTTATTAGGTTTTCTGATTTTGTAACTATAATTTTTATGTGCCACAAGAAAGAATTAGGTAAATATATAAAAAAATAAATAAAATAACAATAATATTCTAATGAGGTTGATAAATCTTATTAACTAATTTTAATGGTTCTTAAAGTAAAAAATAGAGATAACTTTTCTGTGATGTAGGTACTAAACATAAAGGTGTTTTTTTTTTTCTAAACTTTATCTGAAATGCCTCAAGACCAAACCAGTGTGCCATACTGAAAATATTGACCAGATTTTTTTAGTCGCACCAACAGTAATATGAAACAATGATATCACTCTAACAAGTTCTAGCATATTTTTTCTTGCCGTCCTTGTGTGTAATGAATATTTAATATTTCAAAAATAAATACCAAAAAATTATTAATAAAAATGGCAGGATTTCATTGTTATTAAACATAGATAATCCAAAACTATAAATTTTCAATTTCCTTGCATTAAAGCAGATTATAAGAATTCATAATTTTTATAAGTTCAAAACAATAATCTTTTTTCAAATCCCCACAATGCTGACTAAAACATACAATAAAAAAATTTAAAAAATGAAATTGTCTAATAGGTGGTTTTCACCCGCCTTACACCGCACTCGCAGCAAAACTTTGCGGACTCGACTGGATACTTTGTGCCGCATTCGTGGCAGTACTTGGACAGTTTTGTGGTCTCGCCATCACTGATACTGCCGCTGTATCCACTGTCAGCGTGCTGTGCCATGATTCTTCTCCGTCCAGAGTTTGGTCTGGAGGAGGTCGGAGGGGAAGGAGAATGGCCATTCATGAGAACCCTGAAGATATTTTTTAATTTTTTTAATAAATTATTATAATAGAATCATATTAACTGAACAAATCATTGGTTTCCTGGACAGAACTGTGTGATACAAAACTTATAAGTTGGTTACCAAGCACAACTGAGCGCAATTTAGAGTAAATATTTTATCATTTGTTAATCTTCTTTATTGTGCTATAATCATAAGCAAAAATTGCTGCAAATATTAAAGTGCAGTGAAGATTATGCATCAGATATTATGCATAAGATGATAAGACATATATATATTTATATGACATACACTAGACTATTACACATATCAACATCATTATCATTATCATTAGTAGAAGTTAAAGTAGAAAAAGACAGAAGAGAGTTAAAGAAGACTCACCTGTCTTCAGTGCTATATAACAGAAAGAATGAAAGAAGCAAGAATTAGTATTCGGTGTGATTTTGATATATCAGCTTAGTACCATTTGTATTATTACATGCATGCTGTGTTAGAACTGTACAAAAAGACAAACAGAAAGAGCCATGTCTCTGTTAATAGTAACTCTTTGATTAATATGAAAAGGACAGCTCATAAGGTTCTCTCCTCTCTCTCTTTCTCTCTCTCTCTCTCTCTCACACACACACACACACACACACACACATCCGAAATCTTCCCAATCACCATTTTAAATGTATCAGAAAAAAAGCTGGGTTAAATATCTTTTAAAATATCACTAACAGTTAGTCACTAAAATTCAATTACAAAAGTGAGAATTAAAGTATTTTATAAATAAAATGGACTTAATCCAATATATGTAAAAGGTGGACAGTCTAACATGTTTATGTTCTTATGTATTCCACAGTATCCTTAGGGTTTGCAGGTTAAACATCTGTGCTATATATTCATCCACTATAAAATGAGAAATTACCGTAAACACTACATATCTAGCTACAACATACATAAACCACATACCTGCGGCTCTGAAAAGTAGGCGACTGTTCGTATCGGCCTCCACGACCAGTGCTACCGGCACTTCCTGCACTGCGTTGACGTTGCACGCGAGCAGTCTCCCCGTAAGCTTGCGCTTCGGCATAATCTTTGGCACTTCTTCCTGTTCTGAGGGTGACTCCCTCATTAGTAAGACCCTAGGGACAGTTACAGATAAAAATTTATTAAATGAAAATATAAAAAAAAAAAAAAAAAAAAAACTTTTTCCCTTTAAATTAAAAAAAAAAAAAAAAAAAAAAAAACATTATTTAACATGTTGCAAATATAAATTTATGGAATTATGAATTTGGTCTAAATGTGGCATTAAAATTTATTTGGGCACATAGATAAAAACTGATCATACTCAACAGAAAATGTCTTTAAAGATCTCATTTAAACCTGATGTGAACTGACTTCAACACTGGCTGGACCTAATGTTAAATATGTCTTCGCAGGCTTTAAGTTAGACCTTATGTGAACAGATAAACAGATAAACACTGGCCTTACCTTGTTCTGTGTGTCTTTGGTCTTGCCCCTGTTTAACTGTTGTCTTAGTCTAGCCTCAGCAGCATCAGGGTCGTAAGTTGAGCGAGACCCTGAAACAAAAGGTCAAAGGTCACATTAGCATGTCACATGGTCCACACAGGAGGCATGTGGTCAATTCCTGCATTATTTTAGTTTTTATTTATTTCTTTTTTTCATTTTGGTTAAAAGAAAAGGAAAAGAAGGCCAAATTAAGTGTTTGAAAAAACTTAGCAAACATTTTATCATTTCCTGAAATGTGGTTTAAAATTCAAAGAAGTCAAAGCTGTGACATCATGCATGTAGCTAACAGTCAAAAGTAATTCACTGGTGACAGACTTTGGTGATGTCAACTGGTGCACTTCCTAACTAAGTCTAAGTAAGTCTTGGTGTGAACTGGTCTAAGTGTTCACCTACCTGTTGTAGTTCTACCAGTGGAAGGTGGGTGAGGAGCTGCTGGAGGAAGGAAGAAGAAAGTGCAAAAATAAACAAGAGAAAAAGAAACAAAACGATGCTAATAAGATCTATCATGGTAATTACTCGCACAAAATCCCCCTTTTTTGGATGTATTTTTTTCTCTTCCAGAAAGTATTGGGTCATTATTCCAAAATTCCAGCATCTCACTTTTTCAAATGTCTTTAATTGACATGATCATAAGTTTAAACTTTTTGCTTTCTACACAGAAATGAAGCTTTATACCTCACACACATTTGTGTTGAAAGTGAAAATTTTTAACTCATGGTCATTATCAATAGAATACACCAATGAATTACCATCAGAGTTTTCAAGCTTCTTTAAAAATATTTCCACTGAAGTATTTCACTATAATGAAATATCTTTTAAGAGCCCAAATCTTGTTTTTTAATCATTCATAAATCATTCTGTTCCTGTATAATCGACATAATCTTTTTTCCATTTAAAAAGGAAAGGGAGGCAATAATCCATCAATTTTGATTAAATTTGTTGAGTAATTACTGAAATGAATTAAACAAAACATAATAAGAGTGTAAACTATAGCTTTGTGAACCTTTGAAACAAAAAGCAGTGACATTACTTACAAAATAAAAATACTAAGATCTAAAGCACAAAGAAATGATATCTCTACTGCAAGGAGAGTTTCTAGTGAAGTTGGAGGATCCAACTCATATTGTTATATATCTGTAACAAATCTGTAACATATCTGTGATGTATCTGCTAAAGTTACATATCTGTAACAAATCTGTAACAAATCTGCAACAAATCTGTAACATATCTGTAACATATCTGTAACAAATCTGCAACAAATCTGTAACATATCTATTACAGTAACACATCTGTAACCAATCTGTAACGTACCAGCAGATCGTGTGGCTGTAGGCCGGCTGGCGGGGGGTTTCCCAGCAGGACTTGCGTATGCGGTGCCTTCTCTGTCAGGAGGGGTTATCATGCTGCGTGTGGTGGGGGCTACTGCACCCGACTTCTGTTTTGGCTTGGGCACTTTGTACTGAAATGATGAATGATTCTTGCTTTACAATTTCATTTCTATAACATGTCATTTTTTTATTCCTTTTATGACCAGACAATGCCCATCTACTTTGAGCAGGGCATTTTGTACTGAAATAATGAAAAATTCTTATATGAAAAACATTACATATTGGAATTATGTACTTTATTTAATAAGGCACATTAAAACTGTTTTGGCATGGCCTTTTATACTAAAATAATGTAAAATTATTAGATCAGAAACATCATTTAATCTATCATCTACATAATATTTTCTTCTTTTTTCATTAGACAGCATTGTATGATCTTTGCTGATGAAGCTTTAGAGATGACAATGGACTGATTAAAAAAATCCAGAAGTGCATGCGACTAATTACAGCATCCACAACACAAAAAATATGTACATTTCTGGATAAATCCAGAACCCCTTTATCTCATTTGAGATTTTCTAAGGAATAAATAAAAAATAAATGAAAGAATCTTTTTCAAGTACCTGTGTCCGGGTGAGCACCTTTGCCCTGGCTTCTGCGACTCCAGGTTTTTTAGTGTTTCCAATGCGCTCGTGTTGTTCCTTGCAGAAAGGCATGTGTCTCTCCGCCGCGCTTTCATTGAACCTGCGACTGCAGTGTGGGCATTGCACATAGTCTGAAGGAAAATAAAAATAGCAATTTGATGAAAAATGCAAAATGTTCTGAAAATATCTTTCACAAACTTTATAAAATATCTTTTTCTTCTCTTTAATGATTATTGTCAAACTTTTATAATTGCAACTTTGAGTGCATAATACAGCTGATTAAATTCTTTGCTGAAAAAACATAACTGGTGAGAGACATTCCCCATGCATGAGCATGTGCTCATAGGCACACACACAATGTTTTCATTTTGAAAGTTATCAAATACCTGGATGTCTTTGTATACACACATTCATAGACACCAGCATGCAACCATGGCCATAATAATACACACATGCACATTAATACACACATGCACACACACGTTCATATATAGCAGCATGCACTCATCCACACAAGCACACATACACACACATGCATAAATACACACACACACACACAATAGCACACACACACACACACACACACAAACCTGGGTTAATAGAGGGTGCCGGGGGAGGAGGAAGTGGAGCACCAGTCTCTAAGGCCCTTTGTACCCCCCTCGCATTCCTGATGTTTTTGACAAACTCCTGGTGCTGTGCTCGCCAATTGCTCTTTTTAGGTCCACCCTGAAATAAAAATGGTATTATTTTAATTAACTAGGAAACAGAAAATTTTGTTTTTGTTATTATTATTTTTTTTCCTATTCAAAAAATGGTTATTTCAAAAAATAAAACTTTGGACAAAGGTAATGAAGAGTTTTTCAAGTTTAGTCCTGTAACTAAATATATTAAATGGATTTACATTATTAACATGTGCACATGAGTAAAATAATACATATTTCTGTTATTATAATGTCACTTACATTGTAAGTTTAAAAACAGATTTAAAAATATGTAAGTATTATCACAACTTATTGTGTAATATTCTTCATAAGCTTACATAGAAAATATGGTAAGGACTCAATGTTTTCAATGGGGAAAATTGTGATTTTTTTTTAGTTTCTGTATATTTTTGATTCATAAGTTCTTAAAATAGGAACCTTTTAAACAATACTTGTATTGAAATGAATAAATAAATGTGAGTGGAAAATAGAGTGAAACATATTCATAATTGTAAAAATTGACTTGCCATATTTTTTCCTGACTTGGAAGCTGGAGACTGTAATATACAAAGGTGCATGTTCTATATCAAACTCATCACCTTTAACTCAAACTTGTAATCATGGTGAGAGGTAAAAAGCATGCAATAGTAGATAAAATTAAGTGTTGTGTTAAGTAAATAATAAAAAATTAAGTATGAGAATAGCATACAAAAAGCATGCAGTTAAACCTACTAAAACTACAAGCATAAGTTAGCTCTCTATCAATGTGAAAAGGAAAAAAACTCAAGGAGTTAAATAAAGTAAAGAAACATAAATCAGAAGAGCTTAGATTAAGCAAGCAGCCTAGTTTCTGAGTACTAGTACTAACGTTATAGCCACGTGCAGTATTCAAGCGTTGCTGTTGACGCGTCGAAGGCACAACTGGTGGACAGGGCTCCAGTGGTTGAGGGGCCAGACCTTCTCTTGTTGCACGGTCTGCCCGCACTGCCCCCTGTAGGCCAAGGAGAATGACTTCCAGTTCGTCACCCTGTAAGACCACTAGAGGTTGGTCTTTGTCCCCTGATATCTGGTACATGAGGACACCATGGTTCACCAGATATCTCAGGCTGTTCACAGTGACTGCGTGTCTTTGCTGCCTTCTAGTGTCTTCTTCTTCATCTTGACTTGCTTGACTCTGTCCACTGTCAATAGGTGGCAGTTTTGCAGCTATGCTGCTGCTGCTGCTGCTGCCCTGTTCATCGTGGCTTGAATGATTTTGTTCACTATCAATAGGGGGCAGTCTCACATGGTTCTGTTCACCATCAATAGGGGGCAGCATTGCCTGGTTCTGTTCACCATCAATAAGGGGCAATGTTGTAACTGAGCCGCTGCTGTTGTTCTGAGCTAAAGTAGCCTCACGCAGTTTTTGCTGTTCTCTTTCCTCCCAAAGTTTGAACCTGTCAGCCATGTCCTCATACTCCCCTGTCAACAGTTCATGTATGGTCTGCATTTTTTTCATCATATTGGAAGCATTGTTGAATTCATCCCTTAGGATGTCAGTATTGCTATGTTCTTCTCCTCCCTCTGCTCCGCCTACTGCTCCTCTCACTGCTCCACCTTCTCCTCCAAGAACATTAGCTTCAGTCCCAGACCCTTGGCTGTTTTCTTCAACTCTCACTGGAACTCCCATGCTGATGGCCAAGTTGTTATACTTTGCGACCAACTGTTTGAATTCGTCAGCCATGTTCCTAAATCCAGATTCTCTCTGGGCTGATGCCTGATATCCTGAAGAACCAGGCTGAGGATCGTGTCCTGCTCCTATCTGGGAGGATGCACGGTATCCAGAAGGGTTGGGTTGAGGATCGTGTCCCACATCCATTTGGGAGGTTGCATCATATCCGGAGGAGCCAGACTGAGGATCGTGTCCCGCTCCCATCTGGGAGGATGCACTATATTCGGAAGGGCCTGACTGGGTATTATTTGTAGTGTTACTCGCCACTACAGTAACTCTACTTCTGTAAGCAGGTGCTTTTGGAAGCTTGGCTGTTAGCTTTTCTTTTTGCTTCTCCTTCTTTATCCTGTCCTCCTCAAGGAGATCCTTTGTGCGAGGCACAGAAGGTACATTGCGCCTTATGCGCTAAAAGAAGGAGAGAAAGGAAAAAGAAAGGATAGAGAGAAAGAAAGAAAGAAAGAAAAAGAAGAAGCGAATTTAAAGGGAAATCAGTACAAGATGAAAGAAAAAATTTAGTTATATAAGTGTCTGAACAGAAATTATACAAAGAATTTAAGGATGAAAATTAAAAACAAAGGAAAATTATACAAAAGCAAAATGAAAGCTTAGAATTTATGAAGCTTTTATAAGAATAAGGCTTGAAAATAAGTGGTTAAACAGACTAATTTAAAGCAGGCAGGGCACATGTAAAACAATATCAATCTAGTATTTAAAGCTTTTAAAAGCATACATGTGTAGAGTACAACCCAATAGCCTGCAGGTGTTCTTTCCATGATCCAAAAGAGCTGCCTTTTCTCATGTAGCCATTCAGAGAAACATGACCATGACTGTCTCCAATTCTCGTGTCTTATAGCTTAATTACTTGCCAAGAATGACCCTCCTTCTCCACAAGTAAGACCAAATATCTTAGCTATCCCTCTTCTGTAAAATGACTATCTCTCCAGTCCTGGGTAAAATGACTAGTCCTCCTCTAGTAAAGACCCAGCAGTCTGACATATTTCTACACTTGCCTATTCACCAACTCTGTATCAAATCCCTATATTAAGGAAGGTGGGGTGAGGGATTTTTCATCACCATACCTATCCTGTGAGCAGGAATTCTTCTATTGGGCAGCAAGTTTGCCAAGCACTGATTCCCCACAGCCTATTGCCATTCAGCAAACTCTAAATATTTGTTTCATATAGGGGTGGAATGATGGATGATACAGAATGGAAAAGGGTTGGTAAGGGGGGGGGGGGGGTAGGGGTCACCCCCAAACTCACCTCATGAGAAGGCACTTCTCCAGGTTTGACAATTTTATCCATGGGTATGTCCGAGCCCGCGGCACGCTGTTTGCCAGATACAAACACTTTCCTGGTTTTGGAAGCATTTTTCGCACAAATCTTTTCATGGCGAGCCTGAAATTGGACCCTTGTCATTATCATTCTGTGAGAAGTTTTGATTATTTTCATTGGTCATTCTAATAAGGTGACACTGTGAGTCACATTAGTGATTATCAGATTTTGTATGATGTTTATACTTTAATACCCTCCTAAGAAAAAAGAAATAACCAGTGACTGAAAAATGAATATTATGTACTTTGCAATTATAAATAAATAAATAAATAAATAAATAAATAAATAATATTTTGCTGTTGTACATTCAAGNCAGCTTGAATTGGAGTCATTTCAGTCCACCCTGTTGGCCATAAAAATGCCACTATGAGAATATGTTCTACAAGTGCTCTTCAGTGTCTATTAAATAAAACCAATCCCAATCCCCACGTGGCTCCTTTTGCCTGCCTCCACCTGGATATTTATCTCATACCCGACCTGGGTTCTAGCTATGAATATAAAAGACATATTATTTTTACAAATGTGCAAAATTGTAGACAGTAAATGACCATGAGCAGGACAAGAGAAGGCCGAAGGTTCTAATATTTCCATCCCCTCAATATAATTTACCAATTTTTGGCATATTTCATAACCAACTGCCATTCCATTATACCTGCCATAATAGGCATTTTTACATATTGTTGTAATAAAATAATTATTTTATCCAGATATGCACCTAACCCTCACTGCCCTGCAATAAAGTTTTATAATTAAAACTGACCAGTTGAATACTGTAGGAAAACTAACCATGTGCCAGATTAATCTAATTTTTTGCCACCATGCATGATGTATGAAAGTATATATCTCAAAAAGTGTTACATGCAAACAAACTGCCACTATCCGCTATGTCAACTTGATGATGTGTCTTGCCTTGAACCAATATATCAAACAATATTGCAATATATATATATATATATATATATATATATTTCATGCACATTTCATTACAGCTTATAAGGTTTTCTGATTTTGTAACTATAACTTTTATGTGCCACAAGAAAGAATTAGGTAAATATATAAAAAATAAATAAAAAAACAATAATATTCTAATGAGGTTGATAAATCTTATTAACTAATTTTCATGGTTCTTAAAGTAAAAAATAGAGATAACTTTTCTGTGATGTAGGTACTTAACATAAAGGTGTTTTTTTCTTTTTCTAACCTTTATCTAAAATGCCTCAAGACCAAACCAGTGTGCCATACTGAAAATATTGACCAGATTTTTTTTTGCCGCACCAATAGTAATATGAAACAATGATATCACTCTAACAAGTTCTAGCATATTTTTTCTTGCCGTCCTTAAGTGTAATGAATATTAAATATTTCAAAAATAAATACCAAAAAATAATTAATAAAAATGGCAGGATTTCATTGTTATTATACATAGATAATCCAAAACTATAAATTTTCAATTTCCTTGTATTAAAGCAGATTATAAGAATTCATAATTTTTATAAGTTCAAAACAATAATCTTTTTTCAAATCCCCACAATGCTGACTAAAACATACAATAAAAAAATTAAAAAAATGACATTGTCTAATAGGTGGTTTTCACCCGCCTTACACCGCACTCGCAGCAAAACTTTGCGGACTCGACTGGATACTTTGTGCCGCATTCGTGGCAGTACTTGGACAGTTTTGTGGTCTCGCCATCACTGATGCTGCCACTGTATCCACTGTCAGCGTGCTGTGCCATGATTCTTCTCCGTCCAGAGTTTGGTCTGGAGGAGGTCGGAGGGGAAGGAGAATGGCCATTCATGAGAACCCTGAAGATATTTTTTAATTTTTTAAATAAATTATTATAATAGAATCATATTAACTGAACAAATCATTGGTTTCCTGGACAGAACTGTGTGATACAAAACTTATAAGTTGGTTACCAAGCACAACTGAGAGCAATTTAGAGTAAATATTTTATCATTTGTTTATCTTCTTTATTGTGCTATAATCATAAGCAAAAATTGCTGCAAATATTAAAGTGCAGTGAAGATTATGCATCAGATATTATGCATAAGACATATATATATTTATATGACATACACTAGACTATTACACATATCATTATCATTATCATTAGTAGAAGTTAAAGTAGAAAAAAGCCAGAAGAGAGTTAAAGAAGACTCACCTGTCTTCAGTGCTATATAACAGAAAGGAATGAAAGAAGCAAGAATTAGTATTCGGTGTGATTTTGATATATCAGCTTAGTACCATTTGTATTATTACATGCATGCTGTGTTAGAACTGTACAAAAAGACAAACAGAAAGTGCCATGTCTCTGTAAATAGTAACTCTTTGATTAATATGAAAAGGACAGCTCATAAGGTTCTCTCCTCTCTCTCTCTCTCTCTATCTCACACACACACACACACACACACACACATCCGAAATCTTCCCAATCACCATTTTAAATGTTGTATCAGAAAAAAAAGCTGGGTTAAATATCTTTTAAAATATCACTAACAGTTAGTCACTAAAATTCAATTACAAAAGTGAAAATTAAAGTATTTTATAAATAAAATGGACTTAATCCAATATATGTGAAAGGTGGACAGTCTAACATGTTTATGTTCTTATGTATTCCACAGTATCCTTAGGGTTTGCAGGTTAAACATCTGTGCTATATATTCATCCACTATAATAACATTATTTAATATCTAGTCAATCTAAATGAGAAATTACCGTAAACACTACATATCTAGCTACAACATACATAAACCACATACCTGCGGCTCTGAAAAGTAGGTGACTGTTCGTATCGGCCTCCACGACCAGTGCTACCGGCACTTCCTGCACTGCGTTGACGTTGCACGCGAGCAGTCTCCCCGTAAGCTTGCGCTTCAGCATAATCTTTGGCACTTCTTCCTGTTCTGAGGGTGACTCCCTCATTAGTAAGACACTAGTGACAGTTACAGATAAAAATTTATTAAATGAAAATATAAAAATTATATAAGTATCAGAAATCTTTTTCCCTTGACAGTTACAAAAAATAAAAAAAAAATAAAAAAAAACATTATTTAACATGTTGCAAATATAAATTTATGGAATTATGAATTTGGTCTAAATGTGGCATTAAAATTTATTTGGGCACATAGATAAAAACTGCTCATACTCAACAGAAAATGTCTTTAAAGATCTCATTTAAACCTGATGTGAACTGACTTCAACACTGGCTGGACCTAATGTTAAATATGTCTTCGCAGGCTTTAAGTTTGACCTTATGTGAACAGATAAACAGATAAACACTGGCCTTACCTTGTTCTGTGTGTCTTTGGTCTTGCCCCTGTTTAACTGTTGTCTTAGTCTAGCCTCAGCAGCATCAGGGTCGTAAGTTGAGCGAGACCCTGAAACAAAAGGTCAAAGGTCACATTAGCATGTCACATGGTCCACACAGGAGGCAGGTGGTCAATTCCTGTATTATTTTAGTTTTTATTTATTTCTTTTTTTCATTTTGGTTAAAAGAAAAGGAAAAGAAGGCCAAATTAAGTGTTTGAAAAAACTTAGCAAACATTTTATCATTTCCTGAAATGTGGTTTAAAATTCAAAGAAGTCAAAGCTGTGACATCATGCATGTAGCTAACAGTCAAAAGTAATTCACTGGTGACAGACTTTGGTGATGTCAACTGGTGCACTTCCTAACTAAGTCTAAGTAAGTCTTGGTGTGAACTGGTCTAAGTGTTCACCTACCTGTTGTAGTTCTACCAGTGGAAGGTGGGTGAGGAGCTGCTGGAGGAAGGGAGAAGAAAGTGCAAAAATAAACAAGAGAAAAAGAAACAAAACGATGCTAATAAGATCTATCATGGTAATTACTCGCACAAAATCCCCCTTTTTTGGATGTATTTTTTCTCTTCCAGAAAGTATTGGGTCATTATTCCAAAATTCAAGCATCTCACTTTTTCAAATGTCTTTAATTGACATGATCATAAGTTTAAACTTTTTGCTTTCTACACAAAAATGAAGCTTTATACCTCACACACATAGTTTCACTTTTGTGTTGAAAGTGAAAATTTTTAACTCATGATCATTATCAATAGAATACACCAATGAATTACCATCAGAGTTTTCAAGCTTCTTTAAAAATATTACCACTGAAGTATTTCACAATAATGAAATATCTTTTAAGAGCCCAAATCTTGTTTTTTAATCATTCATAAATCATTCTGTTCCTGTATAATAGACATAATCTTTTTTCCATTTAAAAAGGAAAGGGAGGCAATAATCCATCAATTTTGATTAAATTTGTTGTAATTACTGAAATGAATTAAACAAAACATAATAAGAGTGTAAACTATAGCTTTGTGAACCTTTGAAACAAAAAGCAGTGACATTACTTACAAAATAAAAATACTAAGATCTAAAGCACAAAGAAATGATATCTCTACTGCAAGGAGAGTTTCTAGTGAAGTTGGAGGATCCAACTCATATTGTTATATATCTGTAACAAATCTGTAACAAATCTATAACATATCTGTGATGTATCTGCTAAAGTTACATATCTGTAACAAATCTGTAACAAATCTGCAACAAATCTGTAACATATCTGTAACATATCTGCAACAAATCTGTAACATATCTGTAACATATCTATTACAGTAACACATCTGTAACCAATCTGTAACGTACCAGCAGATCGTGTGGCTGTAGGCCGGCTGGCGGGGGGTTTCCCAGCAGGACTTGCGTACGCGGTGCCTTCTCTGTCAGGAGGGGTTATCATGCTGCGTGTGGTGGGGGCTACTGCACCCGACTTCTGTTTTGGCTTGGGCACTTTGTACTGAAATGATGAATGATTCTTGCTTTACAATTTCATTTCTATAACATGTCATTTTTTTATTCCTTTTATGACCAGACAATGCCCATCTACTTTGAGCAGGGCATTTTGTACTGAAATAATGAAAAATTCTTATATGAAAAACATTACATATTGGAATTATGTACTTTATTTAATAAGGCACATTAAAACTGTTTTGGCATGGCCATTTATACTAAAATAATGTAAAATTATTAGATCAGAAACATCATTTAATCTATCATCTACATAATATTTTCTTCTTTTTTCATTAGACAGCATTGTATGATCTTTGCTGATGAAGCTTTAGAGATGACAATGGACTGATTAAAAAAATCCAGAAGTGCATGCGACTAATTACAGCATCCACAACACAAAAAATATGTACATTTCTGGATAAATCCAGAACCCCTTTATCTCATTTGAGATTTTCTAAGGAATAAATAAAAAATAAATGAAAGAATCTATTTCAAGTACCTGTGTCCGGGTGAGCACCTTTGCCCTGGCTTCTGCGACTCCAGGTTTTTTAGTGTTTCCAATGCGCTCGTGTTGTTCCTTGCAGAAAGGCATGTGTCTCTCCGCGGCGCTTTCATTGAACCTGCGGCTGCAGTGTGGGCATTGCACATAGTCTGAAGGAAAATAAAAATAGCAATTTGATGAAAAATGCAATATGTTCCGAAAATATCTTTCACATACTTTATAAAATATCTTTTTCTTCTCTTTAATGATTATTGTCAAACTTTTATAATTGCAACTTTGAGTGCATAATACAGCTGATTAAATTCTTTGCTGAAAAAACATAACTGGTGAGAGACATTCCCCATGCATGAGCATGTGCTCATAGGCATACACACAATGTTTTCATTTTGAAAGTTATCAAATACCTGGACGTCTTTGTATACACACATACATAGACACCAGCATGTAACCATGGCCATAATAATACACACATGCACATTAATACACACATGCACATTAATACACACATGCACATACACGTTCATATATAGCAGCATGCACTCATCCACACAAGCACACATACACACACATGCATAAATATACACACCCACACACAATAACACACACACACACAGTCACACAAGCGCACACAGTTATACACAAGCTCATACACAGCCATACAAGCACACACACAAACACAGACACACACACACACACACAGTCACACACATAGTCACATACACAGCCCAACACACACACACACACACACACACACACAAACCTGGGTTAATAGAGGGTGCTGGTGGAGGAGGAAGTGGAGCACCAGTCTCTAAGGCCCTTTGTACCCCCCTGGCATTCCTGATGTTTTTGACAAACTCCTGGTGCTGTGCTCGCCAGTTGCTCTTTTTAGGTCCACCCTGAAATGAAAATGGTATTATTTTTTTATCTAGGAAACAGAAAATTTTGTTTTTGTTATTATTTTTTTTCCCTATTCAAAAAATGGTAATTTCAAAAAATAAAACTTTGGACAAAGGTAATGAAGAGTTTTTCAAGTTTAGTCCTGTAACTAAATATATTAAATGGATTTACATTATTCTACATGTGCACATGAGTAAAATAATACATATTTCTGTTATTATAATGTCACTTACATTGTAAGTTTAAAAACAGATTTAAAAATATGTAAGTATTATCACAACTTATTGTGTAATATTCTTCAAAAGCTTATAGAAAATATGGTAAGGACTCAATGTTTTCAATGGGGAAAATTGAGATTTTTTTTAGTTTCTGTATATTTTTAATTCATTAGTTCTTAAAATAGGAACCTTTTAAACAATACTTGTACTGAAATGAATATATAAATGTGAGTGGAAAATAGAGTGAAACATATTCAGAATTGAAAAAATTGACTTGCCATATTTTTTCCTGACTTGGAAGCTGGAGACTGTAATATACAAAGGTGCATGTTCTATATCAAACTCATCACCTTTAACTCAAACTTGTAATCATGGTGAGAGGTAAAAAGCATGCAAAAGTAGATAAAATTAAGTGTTGTGTTAAGTAAATAATAAAAAATTAAGTATGAGAATAGCATACAAAAAGCATGCAGCTAAAACTACAAGCATAAGTTAGCTCTCTATCAATGTGAATACAAAGCAAAGTACACAAATTAAGCAAAGGACTTTAAAAATTCAAGGAGTTAAATAAAGTAAAAAAACATAAATCAAAAGAGAAGAGCTTAGGTTAAGCAAGCAGCCTAGTTTCTGAGTACTAGTACTAACGTTATAGCCACGTGCAGTATTCAAGCGTTGCTGTTGACGCGTCGAAGGCACAACTGGTGGACAGGGCTCCAGTGGTTGAGGGGCCAGACCCTCTCTTGATGTACGGTCTGCCCGCACTGCCCCCTGTAGGCCAAGGAGAATGACTTCCAGTTCATCACCCTGTAAGACCACTAGAGGTTGGTCTTTGTCCCCTGATATCTGGTACATGAGGACACCATGGTTCACCAGATATCTCAGGCTGTTCACAGTGACTGCGTGTCTTTGCTGCCTTCTAGTGTCTTCTTCTTCATCTTGACTTGCTTGACTCTGTCCACTGTCAATAGGTGGCAGTTTTGCAGCTATGCTGCTGCTGCTGCTGCTGCTGCCCTGTTCATCGTGGCTTGAATGATTTTGTTCACTATCAATAGGGGGCAGTCTTGCCTGATTCTGTTCACCATCAATAGGGGGCAGCATTGCCTGGTTCTGTTCACCATCAATAGGGGGCAGCACTGCCTGGTTCTGTTCACCATCAATAGGGGGCAATGTTGTAACTAAGCCGCTGCTGTTGTTCTGAGCTAAAGTAGCCTCACGCAGTTTTTGCTGTTCTCTTTCCTCCCAAAGTTTGAACCTGTCAGCCATGTCCTCATACTCCCCTGTCAACAGTTCATGTATGGTCTGCATTTTTTTCATCATATTGGAAGCATTGTTGAATTCATCCCTCAGGATGTCAGTATTGCTATGTTCTTCTCCTCCCTCTGCTCCGCCTTCTGCTCCTCTCACTGCTCCACCTTCTCCTCCAAGAACATTAGCTTCAGTCCCAGACCCTTGGCTGTTTTCTTCAACTCTCACTGGAACTCCCATGCTGATGGCCAAGTTGTTATACTTTCCGACCAACTGTTTGAATTCATCAGCCATGTTCCTAAATCCAGATTCTCTCTGGGCTGATGCCTGATATCCTGAAGAACCAGGCTGAGGATCATGTCCTGCTCCTATCTGGGAGGATGCACAGTATCCAGAAGGGCTGGGTTGAGGATCGTGTCCCACATCCATTTGGGAGGTTGCATCATATCCGGAGGAGCCAGACTGAGGATCGTGTCCCGCTCCCATCTGGGAGGATGCACGATATTCGGAAGGGCCTGACTGGGTATTATTTGTAGTGTTACTCGCCACTACAGTAACTCTACTTCTGTAAGCAGGTGCTTTTGGAAGCTTGGCTGTTAGCTTTTCTTTTTGCTTCTCCTTCTTTATCCTGTCCTCCTCAAGGAGATCCTTTGTGCGAGGCACTGAAGGTACATTGCGCCTTATGCGCTAAAAGAAGGAGAGAAAGGAAAAAGAAAGGATAGAGAGAAAGAAAGAAAGAAAGAAAAAGAAGAAGCGAATTTAATGGGAAATCAGTACAAGATGAAAGAAAAAATTAAGTAATATAAGTGTCTGAACAGAAATTATACAAAGAATTTAAGGATGAAAATTAAAACAAACAAAGGAAAACTATACAAAAGCAAAATGAAAGCTTAGAATTTATGAAGCTGTTATAAGAATAAGGCTTGAAAATAAGTGGGGAAACAGACTAATTCAAAGCAGGCAGGGCACATGTAAAACAAAATGAAGCTAGTTAAGCTTTTAAAAGCATACATCTGTAGAGTACAACCCAATAGCCTGCAGGTGTTCTTTCCATGATCCAAAAGAGTTGCATTTTCTCATGCAGGGACGGATCCAGAGATATTTTCTGACAGTCTTCTAAATTATCTTTGTTAATCCATCCTCCATTTTTGACCGTCTTCCGACAGAAAACATTAGATACCTGTCAATGTAAACTTAAAAATCTGACCGTCTTCCGGAAGACCCAGAAGACGGCCTAAATCCGCCCCTATCATGTAGCCATTCAGAAAAACAACATGACCATGACTGTCTCCAATTCTCGTGTCTTATAGCTTTATAACTTGCCAAGGATGACCCTCCTTCTCCACAAGTAAGACCAAATATCTTAGCTATCCCTCTTCTGTAAAATGACCATCCCTCCAGTCCTGTGTAAAATGACTAGTCCTCCTCTAGTAAAGACCGAGCAGTCTGACATATTTCTACACTTGCCTATTCACCAACTCTGTATCAAATCCCTATATTAAGGAAGGTGGGGTGAGGGAGTCTTCATCTCCAGAACTATCCTGTGAGTAGGAATTCTTCTATTTGGCAACACATTTACCAAGCACTGATTCCCCACAGCCTATTGGCATTCAGCAAACTCTAAATATTTGTTTCATATAGGGGTGGAATGATGGATCATGTGGGATGGAAAAGGGGGGTGGTAAAGGGGGGTAGGGGTCATCTCCAAACTCACCTCATGAGAAGGCACTTCTCCAGGTTTGACAATTTTATCCATGGGTATGTCCGAGCCCGCGGCACGCTGTTTGCCAGATACAAACACTTTCCTGGATTTGGAAGCATTTTTCGCACAAATCTTTTCATGGCGAGCCTGAAATTAAACCCTTGTCATTATCATTCTGTGACAAGTTTTGATTATTATCATGGGTCATTCTAATAAGGTGACACTGTGAGTCACATTAGTGATTATCAGATTTTGTATGATGTTTATACTTTAATACCCTCCTAAGAAAAAAGAAATAACCAGTGACTGAAAAATGAATATTATGTACTTTGCAATTATAAATAAATAAATAAATAAATAATATTTTGCTGTTGTACATTCAAGTGCAGATATACCGTCAAGATTCAGGTATGATAATGAGCTAACTCACCAAACTCTCTGGCATAAATGTTCGTCCACATATATTGCATGGTGAAAGTCCATCATTGGGACCTCCACCTCCACCACTATCTGCAATTATTACAATAAAAATAAGTTGGTTAAAAAAGTTCATCTGTCTCCCAGAGTATACATTAAGTTATGTTCTGGAAAAACGAACCCAACTTAGGTGATTGTTTGCAAACATTACATTCCTTACTTATAATTTTATGGCTTTTTTCAATATAAATAGATAGCAGATCAAAATAATGCCATTCACTTTAAAACTAGGACTGCTAGAAGCAAATCCAATAACTAAATTCATCTAATGATACATGTACTTCATTTCCTTTAAAAAACGTGGGATATCAAAGTTCAAAGGAGAAAAACGCAGATTTGATCAAGCTTTTTTGTGATCTTCGTTGTTATAACCACTGACATTAAGAAATTAACAGATATCAATTGAATATATTATTCAATTCAACGACAAACATTACGAAACAGCACGTTGACAACTTCAAAACTCCCGTCAATAAAATATTTTGCGAAAAAATTCCAGAGTCGACTTCAATCTCTGATAATTTATGTTAAAAGCATCATCTCACAGAAAAAAATAATCAAAGTGTAGCTAATGCCAATTAGAACAACTTTTTCAATGAAAAACAACATGCTCTCGCTATTCATGCAAAGAAATGTAGATTTTTCAGAGCAAATTAGCATACATACCACTGTATTCCGCCATTTTGTATTCATTGGTAACCCTCTCCGCACTTTAAACAATCAAAAAATATTTTACACTTGTTATCTATTGAACTTAAACTATATGAAGACAATTTAACGATTTATGGTGTAATAAAATGTTACTTTATTTTATTTTGGCAAATGTACAGAAATATTGCAGTTTAAACATAACCCACTCAAGTCCAACCAATGGAAGAAGTTCTATAATTTACTGCGCAATTCTGCTGGCACCTATACTTCCGGATTTAAAAGATTATTTGCTGCATAATGAAGAAACTGTGAAAAGGGGATATTTTTTCACATTTCATACACCAAAGGTAAGATAACGGGACTTAGAATACTAGGCATCATTTCATTTTATACCTGACTGCCATAATATCTCATTCAGCCCTTCACAGATATACGTAATCCATGGGCTGATTCAGGTGAAAAAGAAATGGACATTTTGATTTCGTCTGCTGCGAATTACTCAGCGTCAGAGAAAGAAGGGGTTGGATGCAAACGGCGCCGCTTAAACATTGTACATAAACTTAATTCTGTCGCTTTGTTAAAGACTGGAGGGAAATACGAGTCGAATTTACTGTGGGCTTTAAGACCAACATTACCGGTCCCATTGACAATTGTCAACACTCATATCTTGTTGAAATTTACAAAAAATATTAATAACAAAAATAAAATAATCATGAATGTATAAATTGACTAATGATAATGTAATAATTGTTAAATGTTTGTGGATTAAATGACGTTTGAAATACTAGTACAGGTCTGATAGACACTAGTTTAATGCTTACAAGTGAGTGAAAAAAAATTACTTTGATATTATTGTGTGATTGAATTTATCAATTAATTTTTTATATCACAGCAGAATATTATTTTCCCAGTTTCCATTTGTATTTTTTCTCCCAACAGGACTAATGTTTCTCAGTTTTACAGCCTAAACTTTTGTCTTATTGGAGACAAAATTGGTCAAATCTCTAAGACATTGATTGACTTCAATATGAAGTTGTTTAGAAAATAGAATCATAAATTGTGAAATACACTGCTTGTATAATTATATGTATACATTGCCATTGTCACCTTCTTAGGGTGTCTTAACTATGTGTATTGATACATGTGAAATATACCAGTCTTACATTTATTTTGTCAGTAGCTCATGCTACTGTTAATTAATATACCTGTCCAAAAACATTTATTATGAAATTTTTTATTATTTCAACTTTTTATAACTTGATCAGCACTCATACATGCTACTGTTGTAGGACTGGTTTTTATGTGCATTTTTGTTATGTGGAGTCTGTGTATTCTGTAAGAAATGGAATTGCTGTATATTAACATTACAGTAAAAATCAATACACTAAATGCCTCTTATCTTGACCCGCAATTGAGAAGTCAAACTAAGAAGAGGCACTTTAGTATATTCCCACTGAGCTATGTTCACATCATTTCAGACTAAGACCCCATTCACATAAACACCATCGGTCTACCTAAATCGATCCATCTCTGCAAGGGCACTAAGTGCAATCAGCTTAACTGGATGATATGCTTCGCCATGTTTCCATCATACTCATATAATAATCAGCTTTTGTGTATTTTACTCAAGGCAAGGGGGGGGATGTATCATTTAGATAAGCTGATTGCCCACAGCAAGAGTCTCCACAGAGTTGGTTCGATCTATGTACAGTAGACCGTAGATGGTGTGTATGGTCTTTTGACCTAGGGGTTGAACTCCCAAGACATTTAATCTCTTTCACATAATTATAGTACACTTGAAATAACTTGTCAACCCAGTAAATTCACACCTTGGCTTTCTTTGCCCAAATGTACCCATGAAATATAGCACAGATGCTGAGCTAATACTTATTAATTACACTGCTATTTGGTAAGCCTTTGACGCACACGAAAATCCGCCAAAAATGATGAAAGAAATAAACCATTACTTAATTTGGGTTTCTTAAGTTGTTTAGTGCTTAAACATAATTGATGGCAAGATTCACTTTTACTTTTTTTCCTTTGTACCCAATTTAGCAGAATTCATGCTTTGATGCCACTAATCAATAGAAGTTGTAAGGCAATTTATAGACACCCAAGAACATGTGTGTAGCTTTGTACATGGACTAGAGTGGATTACTGTGTACAGTATATGGATCCACAAGATCAATAGCCAGTTGAATTGTCACTAGAATTACAGGGTGAATTTATCAGTTGGGTACTCAGAGCATGAATAATGGGGTCTGGAGAATTTGCATCAGTGGCTGAGAGTATTTGATACCATACTGTGTTTTTGTTGGCAATGATAGGCACTGGTAAAATGTAATTGACTCGTGGATCTGATTTCGCATCAGGCTTTTTTTAAAAGTAATTTGTCTGGCTAGAATAATGATAATTAGAACTGTTGTTTAAGATTCATTATCTGTAGGTTTCATCTTCAGACCAGTAACTCTTGATTAGTTTTGAGATAATCAATTTACTGTACAGGGATGTAGAGAAAGAGTAATCAAAAGAGTGGCACTATATTTATTATTTAAATTAGAATGGTTTTGTTGTACTAGCACCAAAAAGCATCGGAAATCCTCTAATTATTTTTGTAGGTAGAGTAAATCATACTTGTTTTATCTTATCTAGATGTAGTCTTAATATTTCAAAATGGAATGAAAAATAAATGTAGGAATGTTTTGCTTAAAAACTGGTTGGAGAAAGCGTCACAGACAACCTTATATCCCTATGTGTTTTACATTATAAAATCCCCCTGATAATGGATTTTTGTCTAGGTTCCACACATCCAAGGTCAGAAATATGGAAATGTGTTTTTTATTGATTACCCTAGGTTTTCCATGATTACAAACTGAGTTGCAACTTGCATGCTTTGAACATTTGATATTATAGAATTGCTTGACTGAGCCTTTCGATTTTTGTGTACAGTAATTACTCTCTGGGAATTGGGTCGAGTTTCTTGTAGTCTTTGAAACTGATATTGCTAGGTTAAATTTTGTTCATGTTATGTTACTTTATTGTAATCAAACATAAACAGATATGCAATTAACACAAATGGATATAATTTTTAAAAATAAAGTACTTAGAAATCTAGTTATCCAAGAGAAATGGTCTGTAACAGATTGCTGCCTCTCAAAGATTTCATCAAAGATCATATATTTGTGCATACTTTGTATACATGTACATTTATACTGAAGTGATTTTCAATTCCAGCATTATTCATGTCTCCACCATCAAGCTTCTAAGTTGCCACTGGATGAATTTTTACTTTTCAACTTGGAAGTAAGCCATTTCTCTATGGATTTTTATTCTATTTCAATTCCAGAGTTATTCATCTGTCCAGGATGGAGTTTGCAGAATTCATCAAGGTTCCTAAGCTGGACGGCGTGGTGCTGAGGCTGCCGTTCAAGGAGCCAGTGGAGGGCACCCTGTGTATCACGGGGCACCACCTATTCTTGTCCTCCAGGAAGACTATGAAAGAGGAGCTGTGGGTAGGTGTGGACTCCAGGGTGTATGTGTGTGTGTGTGTGTGTGTGAGAGAGAGAGAGAGAGAGAGAGAGAAAGAGAGAGATATGAATTAAGGGCGTGTTCGGTGTGTGTGCGTGTTTTTTCTCTGTGTTTGCGTGTACTCATACAAGCATGTCCAACATCTACAATTTATCAGCCATAATTAATCCAGCTATTTAATTACTTACAAAATGCTTTGGTATGTATGTGTTTCTTCCCATGAGTCCATATCTGTTTTGCATTATGTGTATAATAATAATAATAATGAGTGTGTATGTACATGTATATAATTGTGATAAAAGGATCCACAAATTATCTTTAAGTCCTGAAATAAAATTTCTAGAAAAATACTGTTTGACAGCTAATTGATTTAAAAATACACCCACAAAAAATACATTAAAATTTGTACAAAGAAAAAATAAAACAAAATGCCCTCTTCCAGCTGGAACACAGTGCTGTGGACGCTGTTGAGAAGAAATTGTCCAATCAGAATGGAGGAACTTTGACGCTCAAGTGCAAAAACTTCATGATAGTAGAGCTGGATGTCCCCACGGCCGAAGACTGTCTGCAGATAGCACACTCTGTGGAGTCACTGTCAAATATACGTAAGTTCTTGTACAGTTGTGAACAAGGCTTTCCTCAGAGATGGCCACTGGCCTCAAAAGATGGCCCATATCTTCAAGACTGCATTCCCACAGATTTAGATCGATCCATCTGGATCAACCTTACTTTCTGGGGGTTTACGCTAAATTGCTGTCAGCGAAGCGTGCACTATAGTTTTAATGACCCGCTTACAGCTTTTAGTAGGTGGGACAGACATTTAAGCAGGTTAAGCTGGCACTAATCTAGTGAGACTCCCCAGGGGGATAGAACAATCTAAAATCTGTGGGAATGCAGTCAAAGACAGTTGGACAGCTTAAGAAACTTTTGGAAAATGAAGGATTGGGGAGTTGACTTGCTTGGGTAGAACTTCCCATAAATCTGACAAAATTACGGATTCACATTTTGGACTCTCTGTACCCCAAATCCTTATTGCTCTAACTTTTTTTTCTTGTTTTACAGTACAAACTTTGAATTGAAAGAGGATACAGTGCTTTTGATCCTTCTTTTTTGCCATCAGCATAATTGTTCAGTTTTTTTTTTCCAGATAATCTGTCTCTGAAATACCCCTTCTTCTATCGTGCCAATTTTGAGATGCTAGAGGATGGGTGGACAGCATTTATGCCAGAGTCTGAGTTCAACAAAGTAGGGTCCTCAGATCAGTGGAGGATCAGCTATGTCAACAATCATTTTGAGGTAAACTGATAATTTCATTTATGCCAGAATCCGAGTTCAAAATAGTGGGGTCTTCGGGTCAGTGGAGGATTAGCTATGTCAACAATCGTTTGAGGACATTTCTTTGATAACATTTTTATTTGCGAAAGGTTTTTTCATGGTGTTTTGATAGGATTTTGACCAAAATGAATAATAATGGTAAAAAATAATGATTTTCTAGGTTTGCCCAAGCTATTCTTATGCTGTGATTGTACCAAAGTCTATTGATGACGAGACCATAGCTAAAGCAGCCAGTTTTAGACATCACAATAGATTCCCTGTGCTGTCTTATTACCATAAAGAGAATGGGGTAAGTATGTGAGAGTTCATGTAAAATATTTAAAAAAACTTTTTTCAACAATTTGGATAATTTGGATGCATTTTACTGATGAGATTATATTTAACATAATTGGCCCTGTAAATACAATATCTAATGAAAAAATAGAAGGAAAGAATTAACATTATTCTTAAATGAGTTTATTTTAAAACCTTTTAATGCTAGTTGTAACATCTGTTCTGTCAAGCTACTGGTTAGACCCAGAGTACATTGTTGAAGTATGGATTTTTAGCGATTAAAGGTCCAAAAATTTCATTGAGTGATTAGAGGCCCCCAAAATGACATGCAGAATAAAAAAATTCCTTTTTATTCAGGCTCTAGCATGGCTTTATAAGATCCAACAAAAACTTCCAGATAGGAGCTGTTCAGAATTTTTATGAAGATAAAAACTGTCTCCTTAATCTGTTTCCAGCGTGCAATTATACGCTCCTCACAGCCCCTAGTTGGACCAAACATGCGACGTTGCAAGGAAGACGAACAGTTGTTGAATGCAACACTCAACAGGGGGAAAGGGTACATCGTGGACACCCGAATACAGTCTTCTGCCAAGATGGCACAGGCCAAAGGTTGGCTTATATTTTCATTTAGATGATCTTGGTGGCAGATCTAGACGTAATATGCTGGTATATTGTATGTCAGTGATGGCATTCCGTGTGGTAAATGCAATTTGCGAGCATATATTTAAGACGTTGTCCATGAGAAAACTATAAAAAGAGAGATTATAAAATTGCTAAAGACAACACTAAGCAGAGGATGGGGAGATTGAATTATTATTATTATTATTGATATAATTATTATTTATTGAATTTGTTGAATGATTTATTTTTTTAAAGTTATTTATATATTTGTTTATCAATTTATTTCTTAGGTGGAGGGTTTGAGCCTGAACAGCACTACCACCAGTGGAAGCGCATACATCAGCCGGTAGAAAGACAGAAATATTTTCACGAAGCTCTCATTAAGTTTGTTGAAGGTCAGTATTAATACATTTATTGTTCGCATTTCTTTATCTGTATAACTCAGTACTTTTTTAACAGTTTTTTAAAACTGCTTATGCCTCCAGATGCTGTATCTAAATAGATAATATTTTTTAAAGTATAACTGTGTTGATTAAAAAAAAATGCATTTTTAAAGTTTAATTAAAAGTCACTGTGCAGGGGATTTACCTTCCAAAAGGATTTTTTCCTGAGAGAGAAAAGCATTTTTGTCCTATTCACAAACCATTGCTTGACCCATCCCTGCACTTGGATTCTATTCTTTTCCCCATTTTTAATAGAATAACTCAGCTTGAAATGACCAGATTGTGACATGTATTTTTCCACACTTAATTTATCAGTTTCTGGGTGTGAACACATTGTATACATATACTGTGTTTCAGCCTGCATGGATTTTGGCAGTAGTACAGAGAAGTGGCTGTCAAGACTGGAGTCCAGTGGCTGGCTCAATAACATCAAAGAAGTTCTCACATGTGCCTGTGTCGTGGCACAGTGTGTAGACAAAGATGGTAGGAGAAACCTCTTTTTTTTTCCAAAGTTTGAGACAAAATTTAGACAGAAGCTTTATGAAGATTTTTTTAACATGTGTTATTTTTTATTGTTATTAAAGATTTAAGAATTTACAATAAGACAAGATTTAAAAAATTATACTCATATTTTTTTAGCGTAGATACTGTCGTAAGGCACAGCTTTCTTGAAGGTACAAATCCTTTAATTGTACAGTTTCTTAATAGTGTAGATTTGTAAAGGGTACAGATTTCTGAATGGTACATATTACTGAAGGCACAGTTTCCTAAATGATGCAGTTTTCATTTCTAGATGCTACAGTGTTAGTCCATGGTTCAGAAGGGATGGATACCACATTACAGGTTACAGCACTGGCACAACTTATACTGGACCATGACTGCAGGACTATAAGAGGGTAAACGTAGGGTGTGTGTGTGTGTGTGTGTGTGTGTGTGTGTGTGTGTGTTGTGTGTGTGTGTGTGTGTGTGTGAGTGAGAGAGAGAGAGAGAGAGAGAGAGAGAGAGAGAGAGAGAGAGGGAGAAGGGAGATTTAGCCAAGGTTTCAGACCCAAATTACACAAAACACAGAAAAATGTTCAGCCCAGTCTTTTGAACCTTGCTTTACCATCAGAGAATGAATTGATGATTAAGTTGTATTTTTTTTAAATTTTCAGTCAATGATTTATTAATTTATTTATTTATTTTGTCCTAGGTTTGAAGCTCTGATAGAGCGAGAGTGGTTACAGTCTGGACATCCTTTTGCTGACCGCTGTGCCAAGTCCGCCTTCGCAATGACCAAACAGAGGAATGAGTCACCTGTGTTTTTACTTTTCCTGGACTGTGTTTGGCAGGTGAGTTCATTGTGCTAGGTGTGACCACTGATTGTGTTAGTTTAGGCTGTAGATTGTGTTGGATGCATGTGGCTATTGTGCTAGATGTGACTACTGACCTGTAAGATGTTACTACGATTGTGTTAGTTGAGATTACTGATTGTGTTGGTGGAGACTATTGATTGTGCTAGATGTGACTGGATTGTGTTAGGTGTGACTGCAGCTTATATTAGCTATGGCTGGTTATTCTTTTAGATGTCACTTCTCTGTATTAGACTGTTTATCGTGTTGATAATGAATGCTGATTTTGCTACTTCTGAGTATTTAGATGCACAGAATAGTTGCCATCTTGTGAAACTTTTGTTTGAAATTTGGGTGCAAAAAATAAAGCCTTGATGTCTTTGTTTCGGAACTGTTCTGAAATATTGCCAATGGGTTGGTTATTCATTTATTTATTCAATAAATAATTTATTTATTTTCAGATTTGGCAGCAGTTTCCTTGCTCCTTTGAATTTAACGAAGATTTCCTTCTCATGTTGTTTGAGCAGGCATATTCTTCACAATTTGGTAAGTGTATTGTTAAGCTGAAATGGGTTCATCAGTTTGATAGTGTAAATTGGAACAATTGTCAGTAAATTCAGAGAGAGAAGATTTTGTGTTTGAAATCAAATTTGAAAGATTTGGTGTCTGACAGTCTGTAAACCATTGCCTTTTTTGTCATTGGTGCTCAGCTAAATAAATTAAAGTTGAGTGAAATATGTAAAGCATACCACCTAAAAAGAAACAAGTCTTCATTCCTATTTTATTTCACAATTTTAGGGACATTTTTGTGCAATAATGACTGTGAGAGAAAGAAGTATAAGCTGGCCAGTAAAACAGTATCTCTGTGGTGAGTGTCATTAACCTGGGGGGGGGGGGGGGGTCACTCCACAGGAAAGTGGACTTTTGAGTCATATTGGTTTGAAACTGAAGGATAAATTTTGGTCTTCAAAGTTCTTCAATAAATCTGCCACTGGCTTGTAAAATGTTGATCTGACTCTAAAGATATGACCCCCAACTTTTGCTTGGGATATTTTAAGCATGATATGATGATTTAAAGTATAATTTCCCAAAGCAATTGATTTTAAAAGTTAATTTGAAATGTTCTATTACGTTTTCAACATATGGTGATTTTGCATTTGATTTAAAAACCAAAACATGACCAAATCAAAGAGAATAATATATTATACTGATATATGATAAGAAAATATAATCGAAAAGTTATTTTTCTCCATGTTTTCCATAGGTCATATGTGAACAGACCAGAAGTATTGGAGAAGTACATCAACCACCTATACCAGCCCAACCAGTCTCCAATATGGCCGTCTGTGGCACCTCAGTCTCTGGTAAGTACATCAACCACCTGTACCAGCCCAACCAGTCTCCAATATGGCCGTCTGTGGCACCCCAGTCTCTGGTAAGTACATCAACCACCTGTACCAGCCCAACCAGTCTCCAATATGGCCGTCTGTGGCACCCCAGTCTCTGGTAAGTACATCAACCACCTGTACCAGCCCAACCAGTCTCCAATATGGCCGTCTGTGGCACCCCAGTCTCTGGTAAGTACATCAACCACCTGTACCAGCCCAACCAGTCTCCAATATGGCCGTCTGTGGCACCCCAGTCTCTGGTAAGTACATCAACCACCTGTACCAGCCCAACCAGTCTCCAATATGGCCGTCTGTGGCACCCCAGTCTCTGGTAAGTACATCAACCACCTGTACCAGCCCAACCAGTCTCCAATATGGCCGTCTGTGGCACCCCAGTCTCTGGTAAGTACATCAACCACCTGTACCAGCCCAACCAGTCTCCAATATGGCCGTCTGTGGCACCCCAGTCTCTGGTAAGTACATCAACCACCTGTACCAGCCCAACCAGTCTCCAATATGGCCGTCTGTGGCACCCCAGTCTCTGGTAAGTACATCAACCACCTGTACCAGCCCAACCAGTCTCCAATATGGCCGTCTGTGGCACCCCAGTCTCTGGTAAGTACATCAACCACCTGTACCAGCCCAACCAGTCTCCAATATGGCCGTCTGTGGCACCCCAGTCTCTGGTAAGTACATCAACCACCTGTACCAGCCCAACCAGTCTCCAATATGGCCGTCTGTGGCACCCCAGTCTCTGGTAAGTACATCAACCACCTGTACCAGCCCAACCAGTCTCCAATATGGCCGTCTGTGGCACCCCAGTCTCTGGTAAGTACATCAACCACCTGTACCAGCCCAACCAGTCTCCAATATGGCCGTCTGTGGCACCCCAGTCTCTGGTAAGTACATCAACCACCTGTACCAGCCCAACCAGTCTCCAATATGGCCGTCTGTGGCACCCCAGTCTCTGGTAAGTACATCAACCACCTGTACCAGCCCAACCAGTCTCCAATATGGCCGTCTGTGGCACCCCAGTCTCTGGTAAGTACATCAACCACCTGCATCAGCCCAACCAGTCTCCAATATGGCCGTCTGTGGCGCCCCGGTCTTTGGTAAGTCTTCTTGCGGTCTGGCATCATTGTCGTCATTTATATCAACATTGTCATTATCATGATGGTCATTGGTCATCATTTCTATTTTCACAAAAAGTGTCCCAAAAACTGATACTTGTGGATCCAGGTTCTTGCTGGGGGGGGGGGTGACGGTGGGTGGTTAAAATTTGTTTTATTCATTTATTAAAATTTTTATATATTATTTATTTATCTTCATTTTTCATTGTTGGTTTGGCTGTTAACACCATGTTTCCAAACAAAAACATTCAGAGAATATTACAAAAACTGTGGGATGGGGTAGATGCCTTCTCTCCTCCCCCCACCCCCCGACACGCACATGCACACGCACTAACACAAAGCCAATAGTAAGATTATTATGCCTTTCATTATTGCAGGAGGTATGGCAAGGATTGTACTTAAGGTGGAAAATTGACAGGAGTGGTCACCAAGATGCGTGGAAGGAGATTTTTAAAGTGAGGGAGAAGAATAAAGAGCTGAAGCTCAAGGCAAATAGACTAAGAAGGTAAATATTGAGAGAGAGAGAGAGAGAGAGAGAGAGAGAGAGAGGAATGAGTTAGAGAGAGAGATCCAGGTTTTTTTTTTTTTTTTCAACATTTTAAAAAGAACATCGTAAAAAGTTCTTATAATTTCTTTTTTAAAAGAAAAGATCAGTATCTATATCTGCAAGATATATGTTCATTTATTTGTCATATATTTATCAAAATGAAATGTTTATTTTTAGGTTTGTTTGTTTTCAAAACCCTCACAACATATATTTCAGACAAATGGTGCTACTCCAAAAGGAGGCCATAGAGGCAGAACTCCTGCAGCCATGTGCACCTAATATTATGGAAGTGGAGGATGAAGACACAGGGCTGTCTGCTGGGGACAGTTGATTTAATGGGGACAGTCTGAAAGTATGAAAGAACTAATTTAATCAGGAAAATAGATTATTTANTCGGAGGCGGTATCGCCTCTCTGATCCTCTAGTTTATATCACTGGCAGTTCTAGAAAATCTAGAAGTTTGAGGAAGCGCTATTTATATGTATTCTTATTTATTTATTTATTTATTTATTTATTTATTTATTTATTTATTTGTCTCCAACCACCATTATTACAAGGAAAAAATTTTTATAGATGGTACAAGTTTGGGTTGTCACACTCCTGAGTGTAAAAACCATGCTTCTGCGAGCACCAATACTATCACAGTAATTAGTCAATATATTCAAACAGCATTATTTAATAATCTCCCTCCCCCACCAAAAAAAAAAAAGTTTTTCTAAGAAGTACTTAAAAATTCCAAATCAGAATATTTGAAAAATAGGTTGATTTTGTGTCAGGCAGACTACATTTTTGTGAGTGTCTGAAAATGATAAATCTTGAAAGTAAAATATTAGTAAAAATGCATTTTTTATTTTTATTTTATTTTTATTATAAAAAAGGGGGTGATGGATGATGTCACCCCTTTTACCAATTTGACACAAGTAGCATTAAACAGTTACTAAGAAACAGATAAGGATTTGTAAAGACTTTGTACATGAAGGTCGGTTATTTTATGCAACTTAGTTTTCATACTAATAAAAAAAATGTATTATCGAACTGTACGTGATGTGACATTAAAAAAAAAAACAATACTGTCATAAAGGTTGGACACAGTTCAGTGGTAAAGTAGAAGATTTTCTTGGCCCGTAATATAGTAGTATTATATGTTTTTCACTCAAATTGCTAAAATATCTGCGGAAATAAGATGCAATTTTGTACATAATGTAACATGATAATAAATTAGTTCTGTCATGAAGGTACAACACAGTCTGATGTGATGGTAAAGTAGAAGACGGTTTCTTGGCACACTGTATAGTAGTATTAATTGTTTTTCACTCAAATTGCCAAAATATCTCCTCAAATAAGATGTTATCTTGTCTTGATTTTAGCCAATGTTTTAAGGCATTGATAAATTTTAAATTACAAGAAGAGCTATAACCAAATTAGTAAAATGAAAGCGTCGGATTATTGCTTAGAAGACATTGTGCTGTGCTCCCTGTCTGCAGGACAAGACAGGCCGTGCAATTTTTTGTTTCTTGTTGATCTTGTATCATGAATCAATTTTTAAAAAATCATGTTTACTAGATTAATGTTCACATGTATTTAATTTATTCATAAATATCTGTGTAATATAATATGAAATATACAAATAATTATACGCAAAGTGATGTACCATATTATGAATTTTCCTTCGCATGTTATTAATCTTGCACAAAATTATGAACATTTAAGGTGTGTTTACACTTAAGTGGGGTAGACCCTTCTTGGCAACACCCTTGCCCTGCCCAGTGGCAGATTTAGTTTAGTTGGAGCACCTTCTTAGTGGTATATCCCCATGATGCACTGAACCCAGCTGGTGGTACGCACGCAGGTGGTGGCTAGGTCTCTCTGATCCTTTAGTTAATCAGACTTTCATCATATCAAGCAAAAGGGTTGCCCTAATATGTGTCTATACATAGGCTCCTCGATGGACCTTTTCATGTTGATTTTTTTATTATTATTATTTTTTAAGGTTCCTCTTTTCATTGCCAGGAACCTTTAGCACACACTCAGAGTGAAGATATTCTTAACTTGAAGTTCTATATGTCACTAAGTTTTGACTCTACAAGAGAACATTCCTTTTATTGTCAATGTTATAATTATGTCATAACTTTTCCAAATTGTGATTTACCCCTAGTCGTATACATATAGGTTCAATTGAAAAGATTCATGTGGTATTGTTGAATAGTGTCTTATTATGGTCACCAAGGTTAACTAAAACAGTTGAACAGTTGTCAGGTTTATGATCTACATGTATGCACTGTTTTTTAGACTAAATAACTAACTAGCTGTAATTACATACACAATTAACACACTTAATTAATTTTTTTTAATTTTATTTTTGTTCCTTGTAAAAAAATTACTTTTCAGAGAAAAAGGTTGCTTTGAGAAATATGTTAATCAAATTTGTATAGATTCACTAAGTGATGACAGTAAATATAGCAGTTGGTGGGTTTCAAACCTCCAAGCCTGTAAAATAATTGCCTAAAAATGTGCAAAGTTCAATGAATAACAATAATCATTGTCTTTCAAAGTGAAAGCATGATGTTTCTTGTTTCTTTTCAATTTGGTTCAAGGTGCTGTTTTACAAAAAAAAAAAAAAAGAATACAAAAGTGAAGTTTTCAAATAGCTGATCACTTAATATCAACTTTGAAAAAACTTGTCCATGAAGGTGTTACTCTGCAATTAAACTTGTCTATGAGTTCTTTATGAATTGTTGGTATATAATAATTGCAGCTACAGACAAATTGGAACACGTTTTTGACACGCTCTCAGTGCTCAGTCTTAAGAAATGAGGTAAACAGCTTCTTAGATTCTTAGCAAAATGCTGCTTATAAGTCTTTTAAGTTATAACTACTTCTATAAATCTTGCTACTACTAATAGTCTAAGCAGCCTCTGCTAAACAAAATATTCAACCTCAGTCATTTTGTGAAAGCAGGCCTTGATTTAGCTCTCCATCCACATTCCAGGCAGAGGTCTAGATGGCGCCACATTCACCCTTGGAAATGTGTACACTTGGTATTTAGCAGGTGTTTGAGGGGTATAGACACCAGGGTAGAGGTTATCTGGGCTGATCACCGTCATATGCTGGAAATGATGGAAAAATATTGTAGAGAGATCGAGAAATAAAGAGAGTAACAGATAAACAGACGAATTGTATGCAAAGAATTCCAAAAGAACTTCTGAAGAACTGCAATTTGGTCTTTTAAAACGTTTAGAGGAAAAATATATCATGTGTGCTATATGCTTTTTCTTCATTACTTAGTTTTTATTTATTAATTTTGTCTATTATTTTATTTTATTTTATTTTATTTATTTATTTAACTGTTCCAAAGTAAAAATTATCATTCCTAAAACATAACTAATTACAAGATCTTGGAACAATGAACAATCTGATTAAAATATATAACTGACCTGTTGGTCCTGGAACTGCTGCTGTTGCTGCTGCAAGTGTTGTTGTTGTTGATGATGTTGCTGCAATTCTTGCTGCTGGTGGTGATGAAGTTGATGATGATGGTGATGCTGTTGTTGTGGTTTCTGATGTTTCTGCCTCTGATGATGTCTAAAATTGGGATGGTCTTGTCTTGGCTCTGCACGAGGCGTGGTTGCCGGGGTGACGGTTACAAATGTTCTTTGCTGCTCGGGGGAAATCTAGGGTGTTCAATAATTTATATGAGAGTGCAGAGAGGCAGGGGGAGAATTGAGTTGTAAATAATAGTAATAATAATAATAATCAGTGTTACGCCAATGCCCTATTTCATGAGTTTCAGAGATCCCCATTGACACCACTTCCAAATCACACTCAAAGTCTCGTTGGCAAAATGGGCCAACGAATTAGCAAATTCTTCTAATCAACTGTCCTTTCTACTACCAGCTTTCCTCTACCTCTGTCAGTTGGCTTACCCTACATCTACTAGTAGGAAACGGCAGAGTCGTGCTGGTAATATATAATTGATTAAAGTTTCTATTGTTCTCTTGAACCAAGTGTGACACCAGCGCTTCAGTTAATTATTGTAAACTAAAGAAAATCCATGAAAAAAAAAACTAAAGAAAATCCATGAAAAAAAATTATTTGTCAATGTAAGGTATATGAAAATTTGAAAATGTTCGAAAGTCATATTTTCTATTTCTGCACTTGAATACACTATAGGCCTACATGATAGGTCCAAGGTATCTATCTTTGCCAATTGAGAACTTAAAAACGATACATCCCCCAATTTAGGGCAAACCGATGTCGAAATGTCCTACTGAAATGTTCATTAAGACACTAAGGTCCAGAATAATAAATTTGAAAATAAATTTAAAAATTGTGTAAAACATCAAATCGAAGTGCAGGGACGGTCGAGCAGAGATTCCTGATTGGGATATAAAATAACCTTTTCAAATTCTATTTGGCTCAAAAAATATCGGATAGGATACCGTTGGCATAAATTATTATAAAAATAAGATTAAATAGCCAACCTGCAATTGCGCTGGCGTGACGTAGGCTCTGGGCTGTTCCTGGCACTGAACATACCCCCCAGGAATTACACCTGTGCCACCTGGTCTTGTTTTTGGTCTGGCCCAGAGGGTAGAGATGATACAAATGATAACTTCCACGATGCCAAGTGCGCCAATCGTCACGCTCAGACCTAACTGCAGCGAACCTTTGGTTGGCTGAAGAGAGAGAAATCAAAAAGTTGGTAACAGGAGGAAGAGCGGTTGTTATTTGGTAGTCGATTACCATTTCCTATTGATCATGATTAAAAGACAAAAAAATTAAAGACATTTATCCAAACACATTTAAACTTTTTGTTACCGTTAATAAATAAATAGAAAAAATGGAAATTAGAAATCGTATGATATGAACGAATTTTAACAACCCGTTCGAGGTCTCCACATTGGTTTCAGGTGCCATTCCCATTGAAATTATCGGTCTACGTAGATCGATCCATCTCCAAATAAGCTAATTTCATTGATAGCAATTAGCAAGATTTTTCCTCAGAGTTGGACCGACCCAATAAGTACCATGTGTCTATCTGAATGGGTTCGATAATAATCATAATGACGTGAATCAAAACATTGTACTTTCATAATCTTTTCGCACTCACGTCCATTGTTCCTGCTGCTGCAAAGTTGACGCCAGCAAGGATTAGAGCAAATGCAGTGGTCACTGCGGAGAGAACTAGGAACAAGTGCTTCTACAACCACAGAAAATCTTCATATTAAAACCTCACTATGAGCGCAAGACATTTATACAGCTGACAAATTTCGACATTTTCACGTTATCATCAAGATACTCTTTATTCAAAAACGTCAACAAAACAATTGACCAAAATCTAATTCGCTTTTGATTTGTTAGTATCTAATTTTGAGCCAATCGGTGAATTAAGATGAATAATTTTTGTATCGTTTAATCAAATATTAACAGCTCGCGCGAATACAACTTTTCAGAATATTATTTGTTCTACGATTTTGGATTGCAAATATCTTGATGAACCAGGAAAAAATTGTTGAAATTTCCAGGTATGGTACGTATCATCCTGCTTTAATAGTGCATACAGATATAGAATTAGCACAAAACTACATAAGGGAAAGTAAACCTTTTAATACTTATCCACTTGCCTTGAAAAAAACATTTATTTATTTCTTTATTTATAACTATCTCACCATACAGGCTTTAGTTGCCACGGGATCCGGCTGACAACACGGTGCCGTAGAAATCCCAAACGACCCCACAAGAATGAACTGTAATTAAATACATAAAGCCATTAGATTTAACAGATTAAACAGATATCTAATTCAACATATATGACGGCAAAGGTCAAATTATCAATTATCATGAGACCCAATTAACAATCTCAATGAAAACAAAATGATGGAGGTGAAGAATATCCGTAATGGTAATAAGGAGCGCACGTAGACGCATTCACACCCACAAACATATTTTTACTGTTTGAGCCACTCGACGTATGGAACACAGAGGGGTGGGGTAACAGTTAGCATAAAGTGCTTGGAGTCCACTGATAAAGTTTTCCACGATGCTTCATCGTTGCTATTCATTGTTCAAAAGCCCTGTATCATGATCAAAACAAAAATTTCTTAAATCATGTTTAACCCGAATAAAGTTCATGTGAAGTTCGTCATAATTATTATTATAAATATTATTAATCTAATTAAATGTTTTAAATTTGGCATATTTCGGTTAGAATAGGCTAATGAGGAAGTTTCAAACAGCGCTGTTGTAAAACATATTTCACGTAAGCATTCTGCGTTTTGAATATGTTGAATAAGGTAGAGGTAGAAGTCACACATAAAACATGACAGCAGAGATTCTTATCATCTCTGTTGTAAAACTTTTTTCAATTAAATTCATATTTAATGAGTCTTCTGACGATCGAGACGCACAATCTCTCCTACCCACCCACCCCCCACCCCACCCCCTACTTACCCACGATCCACACCATAAGGGCGAGTGCACGGTCACCAAACGGTTGTTCATCAAAACTGCCCACGCAGTAACCTCAGCTATCATACAAATGTGTAAAATTATCACAGCAACTCCGATGAAAATATGAAGGAGGCCTAGAATAATCAGGGCGATGGTCTGCTTCGGATGCAGCCCATCTTGGTACGCCATCTCTTGAGCGGGAGGTTGTTTGATACTTGGCGTCGTCTGCTGTTGGTTGGATAAGAAATCATTTGGAGGCGGGCGGGTTTGTCGGGTAAGAAGTTGTCTTCCATTTACCTATAAATGTATTAGAAATGTTTAGAAAAGGCAGTTTTGGCCTCAGAATCCCGGATACGCCGCATCCTATAGTTATGAACATTAGGGCTAGAGCACAACATAGATCAAAATAGGCCCAGCACATTAGGCCTACTGGTAGTGGATATTTAATATTTAATATTTACTGGACTGCAACTAAGAAAAAAAAATTAAGTTACTAGACAGCAAAGCAGACAAATATAAATACATAAAAATATTCTCAATCTTATATAAAAGATGTGAAAAAAGAAAAAAAAAAGAAGAAAATAATTATAAAAGGCCTAAATAATAAAAAATAGATTTTGGAAAGGAACCTGCCATAATATTATCATTCATAAGTCATTCAGCAAATATGAATAAAACAAAAATACGGCTTGAGCTTACTGGGCGAACATAACCATAATAAACATCTATATATTTACACCATTTATAAAATTAATTCCTCCATTACCCCGAGGATGGAGTTAGAGCACTGATGATGATTTCCATTAAATATAATTAGGCGCTACCCATCATACGCTGTCCGTCACCCTGATTTTTATAGCACTGATAACGTCTTTTTTATAGGCCCTATTACATTTAACCACTGTTTTTTATTTTAAAAAATTATTATTATTATTTTTTTTAATACTGCAGGGAGGTAGCCTAGGTACTATAGCCTAGTGTAAAACAGGGGATAGGCCTATAATGGGTCAAGCCAAAATTATGCAAATAGGTTATTAGGCCTACACAGTGCGGTTTTTTTTTTTTTTTTTTTTTTT